ACTTATGGCGGATATTGTGATTATACAATTACCTACAGAGAAAATGGGGTTTGAACACTGGGACCATATAAATATTACCCTGGCTTCCATAAAAAAGAACTGCATTGACTAAATATAGAAGTGGCAAAATATAAATAGTGTTCGAATATATGGCAGAGTGCAGCATCTGCAATGTGTACAGTGACAGTTTGGTGTTCTTGAAATACAGTAGCTCATTTAGCAGAAGATTAGATATACAGTACTGTACTTCCACCTTGTCCTGTTATTATAGAACACTTAAGAAAATGTTGTTTTCAGGTTATTGGCTCTTATGAAGATACCAGCTCTCTTTAACGAGAAAAATCCTTAAAGACAACCATTCACTGTCTGGTGTGTTCCTCTCATGTTGCGTTTAGTGACTCATCTATGTAACTGTACCAGTAATAGCTGTGTTTTATAATAGAAGTAGAAATTATTTGTCAAAAATGGGTCCATTGTGCTTGTATGTTAAGGATGGCTAGCTCTTGGTGGTGGAGGCATGTAGTGCTGTAGTCCTGATGGTTAGTACTAACATGGTTGTGGGTGTGTTGCAGACTCTGCTGGCCCAGGGGGTGTCTCCGCGTCGTGTGGCCCGCATGGTGTGTGGCTCGGACACGGTATGCCCTCTCTGCCGCAAGACCTTCTCCTACCCAGAGTCCATGATTCGTCACTGCCAGGGCCACCTACCCACTGCCCATCGCCTTCGATGCTCTGCCTGTGGCAAAACCTTCCACCGAAGGGACCAGTTTAAGTACCATAAAGCACGCTGTGAGGCCCGCCATGCTCTTTTTAACCCAGGCCCACTCCTCCCACCTCCCTCTTTATGAAGTATATTTTAAATTTCATATGAATTTGATATTCATTATTGTGCATTCAAAAGGTCATACAATTTTGTCATCTTCCTTTGCACCAAAGCAAGTGATCAATGCATTTCATTATTTATAAACCAGACACTTTTGTCAACAATGAAAAGATGTTCTTGTGATTCCTGAACATGTAAACAATCAATGTAAACTATTCCTTGTGTTCTGATTACTATTTGTATCCATCATAGCCACTTCTGACTGCAGTACCATTGTATGCACACTGTAAATTTCTCACATTTCTCATTGGAGGTTTTTATTTATTTACAGTAACCTAAACTACATGCTTTCTTTCATAACCTTCTCATACACATTTATTAAATTCCTTTTGGCATTCTATACAGCCCACATCTGCTCTTCAAAAGACATTGCATCTTTCTTCTTATGATTAAGTTCAAAGGTGTTATTGTTCTTCTTAATAAGGATATTAATTTAAGCCACAACAGTATTGGATAGATGTAATGATGTTTTTTTATGGTTTTCCACATCACATTTCCGTTAATGTAAGTTTGCACACATGGTAGATTTATATTTTTGTTTCGCACCTGTGTTTAATTGGCAAGTCTTGTTATTTATAAGTTCATAAATTAGAGCCAATATCATGAGTCCTGTTATCATGATTTCTGACAAATGATACCATTTGTGTCACTCATAATAAATAAAGGTCAGCATTTAACTGGTCTTTATTCTATCCCAAGCTTCAGTTATCTCAGACTAACATAATGTGTGGGTAGAAAGTTTTCAGCTTACGGTTACACAAGGCAGCATGGTGATTCGTCAAGGAGCAAGCAAGCATGTATGGATAATGCAATGTGCAGATTGCATGACTACATACTGTCCTCATGCGTCACAATTGTTCTACAATATTTCATTTTGATCATGTGGATCAGGTTGATCTTGGTGAGGACCTATAGAATCTGAAAACTGCGCTGGACTAAGGGCTTAGTCGATGACATTTAGATGCCATTTTAGAATTCCAGGAGTACAGCTCCTGGAGTGTGTAAAATAATAAGTTTTATATATTATAAATCTCTCCAAAAACTCTTAATAGAGATAAATATACTGTATATATAACAAACTAAATATTTCAACTATAAATTTAATTATATGAGTTAAATAAGGTCACTCTCCCATTGAAGAGTGATACTTTTTAACTGTAAATGATTAAATATGATACATTGTGATTACTTCACAATTGTGATCACTATGCAGTTTTGAGCGATGTACAGCTGTGATCACTGGAAAGTTTGATCACAGCACAATTATGGTAATTGTTCAGTTGTAATAGCTAGAAGGATGAGTATTGTGCAGTTGTGATTACTGCACATTTGTATTGTTGTACAGTTGTGATTGCTGTATAGTTGTGATTGTTGCATAGTTGTGACTTCTGTACAGTTATGATTGCTGTATAGTTGAGTTTGCTGGACAATTGGGATTGCTACCTAGTTGTGATTGCTTCACAATTGAGATTGCTGCATAGTTGTAATTGGTGTACATTTGTTATTGCTGCACCATTATGATTGCTACATAGTTGTTATTATTGCACAGTTGTGATCACTTCAGAGTTTGTAATTGTTTTTACAGTTGTAATTGCTTCATAGTTGTGATCAATGAATAGTTTTGAATGTTGTATAGTTGTGATTGCTGCATAGTTGTGATTGATGTATAGTTGTCTTTGCTGCATGCTTGTGATTGATACACAGTTGTGATTGCTGCACAGTTGTGATTTCTGCACAGTTGTGGTTGCTGCACAGTTGTGATTGCTTCAGTGTTGATTGTTGCATAGTTGTGATTGAACAGTAATGATTGCTGCATAGTTGTGATACATGCACAGTTTTGATTGCTGGGCAATTGTGATTAATGTACAGTTATGATTGATATAGTTGTGATCGCTGCACAGTTGTGTTCTCAGCAGCAATAAATTAAATATCTTGTCATGTCATTACACCCTAAGTGCCAAGATTTTAACTGTATGTAAAATCTGCAATCTTGAAAGGCATGTACAATTGCATCATCAATATTAACTTAAATGTAAGTTACACTAAACAGTTGTAGAACTGTACTGATTACCCACACCTCACTTATACTGGCATTGAATTCAAAGTTTTCTTTAAAAAATGCATTGTTGGCAAAATTGTACAAATAAAGCATGTATGGAACATGAAAATCATCAAACATGTCAAGAAATTAATAAATTTCGTAACTTGAATGCTAAGACCAGGAGACGATAATAGAAACAAAAACCCTCATGTGAGTTTTGTGCAGGTTCAGGTATATGATGTCTTCACCTTTCTCTACTGAACTGAAAAATGTTGGACAAGTTTCTTGAGGGATTTTACTGGGATATTAATTGCAAGAGTTGATTAGGTCAACATAAAGAAAATGTCTTCTCAAATTAGGCAGCGGGAACAGGAAGAGACTGTCAACCACATAATTATCATCAAAATATTGAATAACCTGATTGGAGAAAAAATTAAACATTCATGTTACATAGAAATGTACTGTCTATGGTTAGTAATCCAAACTACAGGATATGGGGACCACCCCCCTTCAAGTTAGCTGAGCATTTGACTTAGCCAAATTTCTTCTAAGGAATGTTCAATAATTAACACATTGGCAAATTTTTGTACAACAACTCTGTTACTCCCGCCATTTACCCAACTACTGCCATTTACTGAATAACGATGAATGCAAATTCATTCGGGTTACTATTGGAATTCTGATTACCTGGTTCTCACAGTCTATAGCCAGTCCTGTATATTAATTAATAACTGGGCTTCACACGATTATTATTTTTGTTTTCAACAACTGGAATGGCATGAGTTTTAACATTTGCTTTAGTTTCAATGCATTATTTTTTATAATTAAAAATACTTTATTATGAAGCCAAACCAGGGCCGGTTTTAAGCCAATTGAACCAATTGCTCCCAATTGGGCTCTGCACTAGGGTAAAACCTGCCTTCCAACAGAAACTTGCAAGCTAATGCTTATGTCTGCTGAATTCTTTATGACAGAATACAGATAGGAGTCAGACATCAAGTACAGTATGTTTTGTTTTTTATCAGGTTAGTGATGAATCACCACAAGAAATCCCCAAAAGATCATTTGTTTCCAAGAATGCTGTTCACTTACATTTTGAATGTTTTTTCTAAGCAACAAATTTAATTAACTTTTTAATAAATCATTTCACTAAAACCGACCTTGGCCATGAACCTGGGAATCCCCACTAAAAATGTTCCCAGTTGGGACCTGCAGCTCCTTAGGCAAGCCCTGGGCCAAAATTATGGCATGCCCTATATATTTCATTTTAGTAATGGTGCACATTAATCATCTCACACTAAACACACCAATTTGCTTGGTGATAGTAAGCTGGTTCAGTAAAGTACAGTAAAATAGAAAAAAAAAATGCATAAAAAGCTAAACATAGTTTGTGGGACTCTTCTAGTTTCATTCTGTTTTTCATCAGAAATACATCTGTAAAAGGAAGCTATCACCTTGTACTGTGCGAATGGCTTTTAAGTATTTTTTAGTGAAATCCCTCATGTGTGCAGAAAATATATTGAGAGGCAGTGACAGGATTCGTTTTATAATAGCAATCTATTGTAGTTTGTATTTATTTATTTACAGTCAACTTGATTTTTCAAGTTGGGATGAGCTATAATAGCCCTAGAGGCTGCCAGCTGCACTGGTAAACTGGTTGGTAATGTTGTCACCAGGAAAGCCCTCCCTTAGGCCATGTTAAGAGCAAAAAACAACACTAAAAACATCAGTCCTATAAATACCATCAGCTCTTGAGCAGTGGCTGGTTGAGCTGCCACATGAACACTGTCTGGTCATTCCTATCTCTTCTGAGGAATGGCTATCTCTTCCTTCTACACAGTTTTGTTTCTCAGGATAAGTAGTGATCTCTTTCTCCTATGTGATAGCCAAAGGAGCATGTGGAACTTTGCAAATGATTCAAGTGCTGTCTCAAAGCAAATTAACTCTACTCTGAAGATTCTACAGATGGCTATCACCAAATAAAGTAAGCATTAAATTTATATACAAGAAAAAATTGGCTTGAAACTTATCTTCATTTCATAATTATTTATGCTAATCCTGTTTTATTGCTCTTTACAGATGGATTGTGACGCACTTCGATTTAGTCTCCGATGTCGATGTTGTGACAAGTCCTTTAGTAATCGTTCCAATCTTCAGCGTCACCTTGCATCACAAGCAAATTATAGGCCGTACTCATGTCCAGTCTGCACTAAGGCTTTTGCCCGCAAAGATGTTTTAAAGCGACATGTATTGAAGCATAATCTTTCCCAGTCACTTCATGCTATTTTGCCAGAGCCTCCAGGAATAGTGTCCCTCAGTCCTCCCTATTAAATAATGTAGCTGTTGATGATCCATCATATACTGTAGCATGTTTACAGTTACTCACTTGTCTTCATCATACTATGCTCATTTTAAACATAGAAATTTTTAACTGTATTTAACCTTATTATTAAATTACTACTTATCTGACAATTGTTATTTATGTATTTGTTTCATAAGTTATCTTTAATCTGATTTGGACAGCTATAGATTTAATTCATGAAATATTGTTAATGTAGAGCCACATAATTTAAGGGTTTATTTTATATAATTTTTGCAGTACTATAATTGTATAACAGACAAATGTAAATGGGCTCAGATAAATGAATAACTTTTAGTTTTTGAAACATGACACATTATGTGATGTCTTGACAAGATTATTTAGGGAAAACTTAGCAATAATTTATGAGGAAATGAACTTGTTTTAAGCTGATATAAAGAAAAGTGTAAATCTGAGTATGCTCACATTTGTAAAGCCCCAAGCTCAATTGTAAGGTGGACAAAACACTGGATAAGTTTTATCCCACATTTGTTTTTGTAATGTCATCATAAATTTGTTACAGACATCACTCACAGAGATCACAATAATGCGATGCATCAAATGAACAAATCCTCGTCACGGCCCTTGTGGATTTGTTACAGACATGTTTACATTCTCGTATAAGAAGTGTCGACCTGCTACTTCTTTGGCATGAAAAGCATTGAGAGTGATCAGTAATTGCTAAATTATTCTGATCCTGATATTTCTCCATTAGTGATTGTCTTCACCTCTTGCAGCCATAAACACCTCTGAAAGGTAAAAAAACTATTCTATACAGTATTTAGGTATTGTTGCAGCATTATTGATCTGACATAGTAATATAGGCCATGAACAGTTAACATTGTTTATTCTGATATGGTATCTTCATCTATGAAGTAGTCGATCTTAACATGACATCTATGGTGCAGCTTTCATGTAAAAATTTGTATTAATAAAAATCAAGACATAATGAAGGCTGTGATGTTTATTTTGTGAAATCTGAAAAGTTGAAGATAGATTTTTATATATCTTTAACTCTGATGCTGGAGTGGCCGGGTGGAAGGGAAGGTAAAGATGCAGCAGTCACATATCTGTATCTTCTTCTACTCCAAAAGTTATATACTGTAGTGAATCCCATCAGTTTTAGTTCACTGCCATAAACTAGAGAAAAATGTTTGAGGTAAGTAATGCCTCAGTAGTAAATAAGTTTGTAACGCTACAGTATTTCATTCTCTTCCCTAGTCAAAGGCATAAGATTAATATGTAATCAACTATCTCAATGAGTAGATCATATTGCTATGACATTTATTTCAAGTACACAAACCTTATGAGTTTCCAGAGCTCATTCTGAAATGCTACAGAATATGTTACAACCAAATTAACACTTCATTATACACCTATTTGTGATGGTAAATATAACAAACTACACAAACTTTGATGCCAGTAAAGTTGTAGCCATATTCAGATTATCTTGGACAATCCTCCCACCCTCAAAAAATCAAAATTAAATATATTGAACGAAATACTGAACCAGCACTGTGCATTTTTTTACTGTTCAAAATTAATTATGCTTTTTAATTAGATAACTAATAATCAACCGTAATCCATTTCAGGGATTAACATAAAATCATTTGTTTCTGCATATCACTTATAGTCTGTGTGTATCTCATCACCCTGACTCTCTCCTACAGCTTGTCCAGCCTTTCCTTGCGGTTAATTGAAACAAGTCAGCCACAGGTATTATAGTCTAGATGGACTATTGCAGACGATGAGTCACAATAACATGGCTGTAGATATGATGACCAAATCACATACCAGAAGAGAGGAGACGACGTCAATCACACAATCGACTTGATTATGGTCCAGGACTGACGAAACGTCGTCATCTCCTCATCATCTGGTGTGAGGTTTGGTCATCAGATGGACTATTCCTTTCATGCACTCATATGTGTGCACAATTCACACTACAAATGTGACTCATGTCTGCAGAAGACAGCATTAACCAACTGTTAATGCATTAAGCCACATGTTTCGAGAATGGACTCCTCTGAATCAGTATGAACTCTAATTGTTAAGGTTACTTACCTCCATTGCAAGATAGTTACTTCTCATTGTCTCCCCTGTCTTGCCAAACTCAAAATTCTAGCACTTCTCCTTTATATACAATACTTGGTTTGACCAAAATATTGGGTGTTATTGATTTTATATATTAAGTTAGTCCTTCTATTAGTATTTTTGTGTCTGGTTTATAAATTTTCAGTCAATAGACATTTTCTTGAAATTTTACATAGACATATATAGTATCTCAAATGAGAGAATTGTCACATAATAAATTCAAGTTGCAACTTTAAAATTTAAAGTCACAACCATGAAATTTTGAGCCAAATTTCTGAAATATTATTAACAAGTTCTCTGGTGTGTAATGTTGTAAGCACCTGTTAAAAATAAGTAGAACAAATAAAACACTGTCCATCCGTCTGTCCGTCCATAATATTTTCCAGATGGGCGTATTAGGTGCTGTTTAAAAAACATGTTTCTGGTGTGTGACATGACATTTGAAGTACCTATGTATGGTGTGTGGCTTTCTACTTGCAATACAGTCCTTGTGTATGGTGTGTGATATGTTGTTTGAGATGCTCTTGGTACCAGTATATGTTGCATCTGTTTGTGATATTTAAGTCTGCTGTGTGACATGTCATTTGCAATACCTGTGATGTGTGGCATATTGTTTGACTTGCAACATACCATTTGTGGTACCTCTAGTGTGTGGCATACCATATGCAATGCTTGTGTCTGGCGTTTGATATTCCATTAGCAGAAGCTTTACAGTATTTGTTATGTTGCATGACCATTTAAGTACACATGTCATTTGTGTAGTACAAGTACACTGTATATCATTTGTGATATGTACTTGTGTTTGGTATGTGGCATACCATATGTGTTACTTGCATGTGGTGTGTGGCATGCCATATGTACTACTTGCATGTGGTGTGTGGCATACCATATGTGTTACTTGCATGTGGTGTGTGGCATGCCATATGTGCTACTTGCATGTGGTGTGTGGCATGCCATATGTACTACTTGCATGTGGTGTGTGACATGCCATATGTACTACTTGCATGTGGTGTGTGGCATACCATATGTGTTACTTGCATGTGGTGTGTGGCATGCCATATGTACTACTTGCATGTGGTGTGTGACATGCCATATGTACTACTTGCATGTGGTGTGTGACATGCCATATGTACTACTTGCATGTGGTGTGTGACATGCCATATGTACTACTTGCATGTGGTGCGTGGCATGCCATATGTGCTACTTGCATGTGGTGTGTAGCATACCATATGTGCTACTTGCATGTGGTGTGTAGCATACATATGCACTACTTACATGTGGTAATTACCTAAGTGTAGTTACAGGATGAGAGCTACGCTCGCGGTGTCCCGTCTTCTGTTTGGCATATCATTTGCATGGTGTAAAGAGCTATACCACACTCCTGGCAATCACTAATAAGTAACCACCTTTATGTGGTGTGTGGCGTACTGTTTGCAGCACAGTATTCGTGCCTTGTGTGTGCATGCTATTTGTGGTATCTGTTGGATGTGAAGCATGCCTTTTACTGTACTTATGTGACATAATGTTCGTGGAGCCTCTGGTGTATGATACACTATTTGAGGTACTGTACCTCTGTCTGGTGTATTATATACAGATTGAGGTACCTGTACTTCCATCGGATATATGACATAACTTTTACACATGGTGTGGGATGATCAGTTCTGATCATATAATTGAGACATATATATGATCTCATATATTTCTGATCAAATATTTGCTGCATTTCAGGATCACACGATGACTGTGAATTGGATGATCTTGCAGACTTTTTCTTTCAAATGTATGACATGCGGTATTTTTCTATCAGTTTTTTCCTAAATGCATTTAAATTCCCTAATCATATCACAGGATTAATAGCTGAACCAAAATTTACACAAAACATAAGAATATTATATACCGTACAGAATGACAGGAAATGTGCATGTCAACATTTATCTGCTTCTATTGTAATTATCATTAATCGTTTTATATTTTTGTATTTATGTATTTATTTTTGTATGTACAGTATTTATTTATTTACAGTATTTATTTCCCAATTTACATTACAGATGAACTAAAAATTCACTGTTAAAAATAAACCTATTTAAAAAATCAAAATTTGACTCAAGAATGTACAGTAAACTGTTCAAGACAACAATCACTCTGGATACATCTTTTTTCCTTTCCTTTTTCTCTGATGACCTCCCTTCTTGACTGGGTGCCTTCCTGAAAAATCTTCATCGGGCATTCAAATTTCCTTCATTAAAGATTGCCCCCGCTTCATGTGGCCATCATATTAAAAAAGAACTTGCTACTTAATATTACAGGACCTCAGTAAGCTGTTTATAGTTTATTTGAAAGTAGAACAGTGCAGGAAATATCATACTGTACAGGCACAATAAATAAAGAAAGAGAAAGAAACAATGAGAGAGAGATAGGGAGGGAGGGAGGGAGGGAGAGGGGGAGAGAGAGAGAGAGAGAGAGAGAGAGAGAGAGAGAGAGAGAGAGAGAGAGAGAGAGAGAGAGAGAGAGAGAGAGAGTGAGAGTGAGAGTGAGAGTGAGAGTGAGAGAGAGAGAGAGATAGATAGATAATCTAGTAGCAGGAGTAATAAGAGAAACGAGATGATGCTCTAGACTATTCGTACACTTGACTTTTAAAACTGAAAGTATAGTGTGATGGTATGACTGTGACAGTGGAGACAATAAAGCAAGCCTCCAGGTGCAACTGTGCCAGTGGAGACAATAAAGCAGGCCTCCAGGTGTGGCTGTGACAATGGAGACAATAAAGCAGGCCTCCAGGTGCAACTGTGCCAGTGGAGACAATAAAGCAGGCCTCCAGGTGTGACTGTGACAATGGAGACAATAAAGCAGGCCTCCAGGTGCAACTGTGCCAGTGGAGACAATAAAGCAGGCCTCCAGGTGTGACTGTGACAATGGAGACAATAAAGCAGGCCTCCAGGTGCAACTGTGCCAGTGGAGACAATAAAGCAGGCCTCCAGGTGTGACTGTGCCAGTGGAGACAATAAAGCAGGCCTCCAGGTGCAACTGTGCCAGTGGAGACAATAAAGCAGGCCTCCAGGTGCAACTGTGCCAGTGGAGACAATAAAGCAGGCCTCCAGGTGTGACTGTGACAATGGAGACAATAAAACAGGCCTCCAGGTGTGACTGTGCCAGTGGAGACAATAAAGCAGGCCTCCAGGTGCAACTGTGCCAGTGGAGACAATAAAGCAGGCCTCCAGGTGCAACTGTGCCAGTGGAGACAATAAAGCAGGCCTCCAGGTGTGACTGTGACAATGGAGACAATAAAACAGGCCTCCAGGTGTGACTGTGCCAGTGGAGACAATAAAGCAGGCCTCCAGGTGCAACTGTGCCAGTGGAGACAATAAAGCAGGCCTCCAGGTGCAACTGTGCCAGTGGAGACAATAAAGCAGGCCTCCAGGTGTGACTGTGACAATGGAGACAATAAAACAGGCCTCCAGGTGTGACTGTGCCAGTGGAGACAATAAAGCAGGCCTCCAGATGTGACTGTAAAGATCACACCTGTGTGAGTATGGCAGGAGAACAATTTGTAAGGGAGTGGTTGTCTTTCTGGATTTTTGTTCACATGTCCACTACTATACTGACCAACATCAATTGACATCCTGCCTGCAAGAATATAAAAGAAAATAAACTTTTAAAACAGGGAAGAATTATATCTAAAGCTGTACCTGATGTTCTGTCACTACAATTATTTGCATGCAGTAAATAGCATGTTATATATATAAATACATATTTCCTTATCTATTAAAAAAATAATTTTTGTAAGTTAATATAGCTGATGGTGTAGCATATATCAGTATGTTTGGCCAAGCCATGCAAGAGGAGCTGACAATTTGTGTTTATATTAAAGTACACTCAGTGCACTCTCTCCAAAAATAACTCTGAAGAACAAATTAGTTGCATTATTTTTGTTTGCATTACCATTGTTCATTCATAAATTTAGTTTTATTTGGTTTACTTTGACTGTTATTTTGTATGTATTTATAATATACAAAGTTACATGTGTGCCAAAGTTATTTGATGTGATGGTGGAAACACTATGGATGGACACTTGCAAAACTATAAGATAAAAAAGTACAGATGTATTAGGTTTCTTTTTCAGACAAATATGGCAGCTGCAGTACCATAACTTGGTAAATTAAAAGAAAAATTCTGATATGTTGACCCTATACTTATTCACCTTAATCTTTTTCATAAACAAGAGTGGTAAAGTGGGCCAGCTATGGCTGTTAGAGTCTAGTAATACTGCCCTGTGTTAGGTACTCTAAACATAAAAACTTAACAATTCAATATAACTTCAGTCATGTCTTTTGTCATTGGCTTCCACAGTTCTCACTTTGCAGACACAGCTCCAACTTAGTGGAAATTAATAATGTAATTGGTACTCAAAGTACACTAGAATTTGAACGTTGGTTCAAATTCCCGCATTTCTCCAAATGATTTTCTCAATGTAATTGGTTTCATAATTTTTGTAATGTATTACTGTTATAAATCATTAATATTATTTAGCTATGTACTGTATGTCTAAAAATACATTATCCACTAGATATATGCAAATTTGAGGCTATATTACTGTACCTTCATAATTTGTTGTTGAGTTATGGTAAGTTAGGTGGTGACCAAGATGCATTGTCCTTTTATCCAAGACCGGTGTTGGATTTTCACACCCCTCAACACAGTAATTCTCAGTTATGTTAGTTAATTACAGTGGCCCAAGCTCAATATGTACATGGTTACGATTTTCATAATTTAATTTTTATATTACTGGTAGATACTGTAACTTATTAAGGAATTTTACATGTAGTTCTACTACTGAAATGAATATTTATGCTGATTTCTGTGTTCACCCATTATTTTCTATTCCCTGTTTTTTGCTCAAAATCATTTGTAATTTAGATTTAAGACTTATGTGGAGATAGAGCCCCTTGGAGAAATTTGTGCTGTGGCCATGGAGCTTCTGGGAAGAAGTAAGACACTGGGGCTCTAGATAGATTAATAAGACTGCATGTAATTATAAGAATATTTGCCAAGAGCATTACAGAGTTGGTGCAAAAGAACTCAAAATGCTTGTATGCCATCCATGTCATACTAAATAAGGATTACCTTTATCTGAAGAATAGCCTTAAGTAAAAATGTGAAGCAGGCTGTCTAAAATTTGAAGACTGAAATGAATAAAGAATATCTTAAATGTACATTTTGTTGACCTTGATTCCTTACCAACATTTTCACCATATGACTCAAACTACCTTGTACCACTAGTTACATTAATTAACTAAAAATAGACTTATCACAACAATTAGGTTCTATTGGAAAGGATACTTCATGGTTTTCATAGGAATGTTATTATGTTTTGTTATGGTGCCTATGTGATAATTGCAGAATGTGTTTTATGTACTGGCTTGAAATTGTTGAGGCTGGTGCATGGCAGTGTAAGGAAGGCACCTCTTATAAAATATTTCCTTATTAAAACTACTCAATAGATAGAGCTTCGACCTCAGGCGGGTGGGGTCCACGGGTCCAGTTTCCTAGAGCCCAGGTGAATGGAAGGTTCCTTTTCTAACTAGACTATATATAGTCTTCTGTTGGCAGATATGAAAATATTTGTTAACACATCATCAGGAATGGTGAGGACCTTGAGTAATAACTTGAAAATTAACATGCACAGTTGCACAAAAATGCGCACATAATTTTAATAATATGAGAGGGTAGTGCGGTAAATACCAAAACTATCAAAGCTTCAAAATCTTATATGACAGATCACTAAGGGAGAGCCACACCCCTCCCTCTCTCCCTCCTCCACACCTCACAGTGAAAGCCACACCCCTCTCCCAACCCTTACAGTAAGAGACATCCCTCCTTCCCCCCACACCTCACAGTGAGAGCCACATCCCTCATTCCCCCACACCTCATAGTGAGAGCCATATCTCTCCCCTCCCCATGCCTCACAGTGAGAGCCATATCCCTCCCTCCACCACATCTCAATAAGAGCCACATACCTCCTTACCCCACACCTCAGTGAGAGCCACATCCTTCCTTTCCCTTCGCTTCTCTCTCTGCCATACCTCAAAGTGAGAACTATTCCCCCTCCCTCTCCCACATTTCAACAGTGAGAGCCATACCCCTCTCTCACTGGAACATTGGAATGTGTGAGGGAGGGAGAGAGATGAGTGGGGAAGAAAACAGAGCTGTGGCTCTCACTAGGATGTTTGTGAGTGGAGGTGAGTCTCACTTGGAGGTTTGTGAAAGGGAGTGTGTGACTCTCACTGGGAGGTGTGTGGAAGAGAGCAAGGAATGTGGCTGTCACTGGGAGGCTTGAGGGAGGGATGTGGCTGTCACTGTGAGGCTTGAGGGAGGGATGTAGCTGTCACTAGGAGGCTTGAGGGAGGGATGTAGCTGTCACTGGGAGGCTTGAAGGAGGGATGTAGCTGTCACTGGGAGGCTTGAAGGAGGGATGTAGCTGTCACTGGGAGGCTTGAGGGAGGGATGTAGCTGTCACTGGGAGGCTTGAAGGAGGGATGTAGCTGTCACTGGGAGGCTTGAGGGAGGGATGTAGCTGTCACTGGGAGGCTTGAAGGAGGGATGTAGCTGTCACTGGGAGGCTTGAAGGAGGGATGTAGCTGTCACTGGGAGGCTTGAGGGAGGGATGTAGCTGTCACTGGGAGGCTTGAGGGAGGGATGTAGCTGTCACTGGGAGGCTTGAAGGAGGGATGTAGCTGTCACTGGGAGGCTTGAAGGAGGGATGTAGCTGTCACTGGGAGGCTTGAGGGAGGGATGTAGCTGTCACTGGGAGGCTTGAAGGAGGGATGTAGCTGTCACTGGGAGGCTTGAGGGAGGGATGTAGCTGTCACTGGGAGGCTTGAGGGAGGGATGTAGCTGTCACTGGGAGGCTTGAAGGAGGGATGTAGCTGTCACTGGGAGGCTTGAAGGAGGGATGTAGCTGTCACTGGGAGGCTTGAGGGAGGGATGTAGCTGTCACTGGGAGGCTTGAAGGAGGGATGTAGCTGTCACTGGGAGTCTTGAGGGAGGGATGTAGCTGTCACTGGGAGGCTTGAAGGAGGGATGTAGCTGTCACTGGGAGGCTTGAAGGAGGGATGTAGCTGTCACTGGGAGGCTTGAGGGAGGGATGTAGCTGTCACTGGGAGGCTTGAGGGAGGGATGTAGCTGTCACTGGGAGGCTTGAAGGAGGGATGTAGCTGTCACTGGGAGGCTTGAAGGAGGGATGTAGCTGTCACTGGGAGGCTTGAGGGAGGGATGTAGCTGTCACTGGGAGGCTTGAAGGAGGGATGTAGCTGTCACTGGGAGGCTTGAGGGAGGGATGTAGCTGTCACTGGGAGGCTTGAGGGAGGGATGTAGCTGTCACTGGGAGGCTTGAAGGAGGGATGTAGCTGTCACTGGGAGGCTTGAAGGAGGGATGTAGCTGTCACTGGGAGGCTTGAGGGAGGGATGTAGCTGTCACTGGGAGGCTTGAAGGAGGAATGTAGCTGTCACTGGGAGGCTTGAGGGAGGGATATGGCTGTCACTGGGAGGCTTGAAGGAGGGATGTAGCTGTCACTGGGAGGCTTGAGGGAGGGATGTAGCTGTCACTGGGAGGCTTGAAGGAGGGATGTAGCTGTCACTGGGAGGCTTGAGGGAGGGATATGGCTGTCACTGTGAGGCTTGAGGGAGGGATGTAGCTGTCACTGGGAGGCTTGAAGGAGGGATGTAGCTGTCACTGGGAGGCTTGAGGGAGGGATGTAGCTGTCACTGGGAGGCTTGAAGGAGGGATGTAGCTGTCACTGGGAGGCTTGAGGGAGGGATATGGCTGTCACTGGGAGGCTTGAAGGAGGGATGTAGCTGTCACTGTGAGGCTTGAGAGAGGGATGTGGCTGTCACTGAGAGGCTTGAGGAAGGAATGTTGCTCTTCAGAATGTGTTGGCTAGAGAGGGAAGGATGTGAGGCACCGGAAGGGTGGTGTGGCTCTCTTTGAGTTGTGTGGGGAAGGATATGGCTCATTTGGAATGACATGACAGATTTTATCAGTTTTGCTCAGTACATAGTGAGGGAGCGACTGCTCCCTCTGACAACAATTATTACAACTCAATGCAGACACAGTATGTGAAAAAAAATGAATTTGTAGACAAGTACTCAGACGTCATTGGCAAACAGAAATAATACAAGTTTCTTTCATTCAAAGACATACAAAAAAAATAATGAGCACTAGCAGTGTGATAAAATCAAGTGTCAAGAAACTTAACCATTAACAAATGTACCTAAACTCATGATTGCCAATGACAATCGTTCTACCTAACGTTCAAGATCACATTGTTCTACCTCACCGTGATACCATTTTCACGCACATTGAGGCCGCTCCTGAAGACCGCTCCTTGAGGCCGCTCCTGCAGACTGCTCCTTGAGGCTGCTCCTCGAGGCTGCTCCTTGAGACTGCTCCTGGAGGCCGCTCCTGCAGGCCGTTCCTCGAGGCCACTCCTGCAGACCATTCCTCGAGGCTGCTCCTGCAGACCGCTCCATGAGGCCGCTCCTTCAGATCACTCCTTGAAGCCGCTGTGCAGACCGCTCCATGAGGCCGCTCCTTGAGGCTGCTTCTGCAGACAGCTCCTCGAGGCCGCTCCTGCACACAGCTCCTCGAGGCCGCTCCTGCAGACAGCTCCTCGAGGCCGCTCCTGCACACAGCTCCTCGAGGCCGCTCCTTAAGACTGCTTCTGCAGACAGCTCCTCGAGGCCGCCCCTTAAGGCTGCTTCTGCAGACAGCTCCTCGAGGCCGCTCCTTCAGGCTGCTTCTGCAGACAGCTCCTCGAGGCCGCTCCTGCAGACCGCCCCCCGAGGCCGCTAGAACACAGTCTTGCTGCAGCGGCCGAGGACACGTTCTCTGAGACACCTTCCACAGTTGGCTATCAAGTTAGATTGAATATATAGATAAATTTGTTTGCATGAAGCCTAGATGAAAGAGGCTGTTGTAGTTCTTTCATGTATTTTTTACATGGCTTCGTTTTGTTTTCATGTTTCGTTTACAATCAAATTATTTAAAAACACATGCTTTTATTGTTTTAATATTTATGAGCTTACTTTAAAACTTTTTAAATACAAAATAACTTATGTATTTCCTTTAAAATTGTATCTTCCTTGTGTTTTGTTTTTAAACACAAAAGTGAATAATTAATTTTACGTGCTTGCTCTCCCCCCCCCCCCCTAGCTTTAGGGCCCCTGCTTGTGCCTTATTTTGAGGTTTGAATGGTGCAGCGCTCACTGAGAGGGGAGGGCTATGGTCTTCTTTGGGGGGTTGAATGGTGCAGCGCTCTCTGAGAGGGAGGGCTATGGTCTTCTCTGAGAGGGGGGGGGGGTTGAATGGTGCAGCGCTCACTGAGAGGGGAGGCCTATGTTCTTCTCTGGCTAGGGGGGGGGGGTTGAGGAGCTGAGGCCTCTTTATTTCTAGCCCTAAGCGGCGGAAGGGCGATGACTGACGAGCGAGTGTCCTAGTTTTGGAACAGGTATACATGTATTTATGTATGTAATTCAGCTTAGCATTTTAAAAGGACTACAAACACCTTCTGTAGTTGATTGTTCAATAAATCCCTGAACTATATGTTTAACAGATCTGTAACCCTGTCCATAGATATCAGAAGAAAATGTATATATGTTTGGTTAGCATTGTAAATGTGTGGCCACATCTGTGGTAGAAAATAATAAAAAAAAACTGGCAGGAGGGGTGTGTGGCACTCCCGTGTCAGTGTGGCACTCAATAGGAGATGCGAGGGACAAGAAGGGGAGTGGTACGTGTGTCGGAAAGAAGGGTGTGGCACACTTAACTGACAAGAGCACTGTGTAATCTTTCATATAGAATAGGGTAGTAGCACATTGCTGTATATACCTAAGCTTGTTAATAAAAAAAAAAGTGGAGTATAGAAAATTTATGAAATCATGCAGGGTAAAATCCAACCAAAAGGTAACTGCGGCAAATGTTGGAATTATAGGAGTTGCAGAAGTAACGGAGATAAGAAACTAACAAATAATCTCATTATATGAAGCATAGCAAACCCAGGAAGCAACGCCGTACATTCACAGACAAAAAATGTAGCGGGTCAAATGTTACGTCGATATAGTCTGAGAATCTACCGAGGACTCGGAGGAGGGACTCAGAAATTTGGCATATCATTGGGAAGAGCTGGTAGTGGGTGTAGGGGTGGAAGAGTGGAGGTGTTGGTAGTGGGTGTAGGGGTGGAAGAGTGGAGGAAGTGTTGGTAGTGGGTGTAGGGGTGGAAGAGTGGAGGTGTTGGTAGTGGGTGTAGGGGTGGAAGAGTGGAGGAAGTGTTGGTAGTGGGTGTAGGGGTAGAAGAGTGGAGGAAGTGTTGGTAGTGGGTGTAGGGGTGGAAGAGTGGAGGAAGTGTTGGTAGTGGGTGTAGGGGTGGAGGTGTTGGTAGTGGGTGTAGGGGTAGAAGAGTGGAGGTGTTGGTAGTGGGTGTAGGGGTGGAAGAGTGGAGGTGTTGGTAGTGGGTGTAGGGGTGGAAGAGTGGAGGTGTTGGTAGTGGGTGTAGGGGTGGAAGAGTGGAGGTGTTGGTAGTGGGTGTAGGGGTGGAAGAGTGGAGGTGTTGGTAGTGGGTGTAGGGGTGGAAGAGTGGAGGTGTTGGTAGTGGGTGTAGGGGTGGAAGAGTGGAGGTGTTGGTAGTGGGTGTAGGGGTGGAAGAGTGGAGGTGTTGGTAGTGGGTGTAGGGGTGGAAGAGTGGAGGTGTTGGTAGTGGGTGTAGGGGTAGAAGAGTGGAGGTGTTGGTAGTGGGTGTAGGGGTAGAAGAGTGGAGGTGTTGGTAGTGGGTGTAGGGGGTAGAAGAGTGGAGGAAGTGTTGGTAGTGGGTGTAGGGGTGGAAGAGTGGTGTTGGTAGTGGGTGGAAGAGTGGAGGAGGTGTTGGTAGTGGGTGGAAGAGTGGAGGAGGTGTTGGTAGTGGGTGTAGGGGTGGAAGAGTGGAGGTGTTGGTAGTGGGTGGAAGAGTGGAGGAGGTGTTGGTAGTGGGTGTAGGGGTGGAAGAGTGGAGGTGTTGGTAGTGGGTGGAAGAGTGGAGGAGGTGTTGGTAGTGGGTGGAAGAGTGGAGGAGGTGTTGGTAGTGGGTGGAAGAGTGGAGGAGGTATTGGTAGTGGGTGTAGGGGTGGAAGAGTGGAGGAAGTGTTGGTAGTGGGTGTAGGGGTGGAAGAGTGGAGGTGTTGGTAGTATGTGGAAGAGTGCAGGTGGTGTTGGTTGTGGGTGTAGGGGTGGAGGAGGTGTTGGTAATGGGTGTAGGAGTGGAAGAGTGGTGGTGGTGTTGTAGGAGTGGAGTGGAGGAGGTGTTGGTCGTGGGTGTAGGGGAGGAAGAGTGGATGAGGTGTTGGTCGTGGGTGTAAGGGTGGAAGAGTGGAGGAGGTGTTGGTCGTGGGTGTAGGGGAGGAAGAGTGGATGAGGTGTTGGTCGTGGGTGTAAGGGTGGAAGAGTGGAGGAAGTGTTGGTCGTGGGTGTAGGGGAGGAAGAGTGGAGGAGGTGTTGGTCGTGGGTGTAAGGGTGGAAGAGTGGAGGAGGTGTTGGTCGTGGGTGTAGGGGAGGAAGAGTGGAGGTGTTGGTCGTGGGTGTAGGGGAGGAAGAGTGGAGGAGGTGTTGGTAGTGGGTGTAGGGGAGGAAGAGTGGAGGAGGTGTTGGTCGTGGGTGTAAGGGTGGAAGAGTGGAGGAGGTGTTGGTCGTGGGTGTAAGGGTGGAAGAGTGGAGGAGGTGTTGGTCGTGGGTGTAAGGGTGGAAGAGTGGAGGAGGTGTTGGTCGTGGGTGTAAGGGTGGAAGAGTGGAGGAGGTGTTGGTCGTGGGTGTAGGGGAGGAAGAGTGGTGGAGGTGTTGGTCGTGGGTGTAGGGGAGGAAGAGTGGTGGAGGTGTTGGTCGTGGGCGCCATCTGTGGGCCTGAGTGTGGCGGCCCCGGGAAGGTTGCCCACTCTCCGCCCCGACTTTCCTGGCCAGCGGGTCAAGAGCACCTCCAGCAGCGGTCACGGCAGGTCACCCACCACCGCTGCTCCCTGACCTTCCTCATCTTTAACCTTTCTCGGACCAGGTTATCTGATGATTATCCTCAGGTGATCACAACTGGAGAGCAAGATAACGACTGCTGGTGATGGTTGAGGCTTGTGGTGGGACGTCTGGCGCGCCGGCAAGTAAGCTTCTCAAAATTATATTTTAGCTCTAAGTCATAGTCATTATCTGGTAATTTGTTACTTTTAATGTACATCTACATCAAGATTAGTTTATTAAGACAGGGCAGCTGCAGCCTCTATGGGGGCCTCCTCCCCAGAAATATTGCTAGTTTTTACGTAATTTTACAAGCGGCGGCAGAGTTCAAATTTTATACTAGTAGTGTATTATACAATGATGTATTTGTCATCTCTACAGTCTGGGTTAACCAAGGTAGCCCGTGTAATGTCACCAACCCTTGTGGTTTGTGTTTGTTTTCATTGATGACATAAATATGAATTACGATAGAGATTTTGAGCTCTGTTTATAGTTCATTTTAAGAGAACATAATGTTGCTAGACTGGATAGGTGGATGAGGTTTAATTAGTAAATTTACAAGTGAAATATAAGGGTAAAAGATGGGAGGTTCAGGAGACCTCTTGGACCCATATGCAAGGTAGTGCCACTTCAACCACATCCATCCTGACTGACATTAGTCCAAAACAATTTTTTTGCCTGCACCAGTGCATAGGACATCATACCTACGGTATCTGTGCCTGGGGAACCTTACAACCCAAATATGCCTAGGTTACACAATCGCAACTTAAAAGATCAAGTGCTATCCAGTCGTAATAGCTTTGCACTTTCTCCTGATAATTCCCTCCACCCCCTACCTTTCTTCCCCCTCTTTCCCTCCCTTCATACCTTTCTCCTCGTCTTCAATCATTCACCCTTGCCTCCTTTTATTTTGATTGATTTGAACATAAATGAGCATTAACAAACTAAATCCCAGACAGCATTCAGCACCCTTAACTCCTTGAATGTTAAATAGCAAGTCATTACAGGTGCATTGTCTTGCCATCAGAGCAACACCCGTTATTGTCTAGACACTTCGATGTGTGACAGAACTGTGGATGTCTCAATTTTGTTACATTTTAATTCAAGTGTTATGAAGTCGCCTGATTAGATTTGTACCATACTTCTGCCCGAAATGCTATGCATCTAATGTTATGTACTCTTAACAACTGAATGTACCATCTTTTATATAAATAAACAATAAGTAAAGTAAGTTTTGCAATGGAGCTGGTCGGCCGAGCGGACAGCACGCTGGACTTGTGGTCCTGGGTTCGATCCCAGGCGCCGGCGAGAAACAATGGGCAGAGTTTCTTTCACCCTATGCCCCTGTTACCTAGCAGTAAAATAGGTACCTGGGTGTTAGTCAGCTGTCACGGGCTGCTTCCTGGGGGTGGAGGCCTGGTCGAGGACCGGGCCGCGGGGACACTAAAGCCCCGAAATCATCTCAAGATAACCTCAAGAAAATGTCGTATTCTTTTCAGCCCTTTGAAATATGAATTGCTTTTTGTCCAAAGTTCGGTGATTTGAGCTAATATATAACTAACCTTTGCTTGAAACAATCCAGCTAACTTTGTCGGTGATATTACAGTATAGTCCATAAATAAAAAGCTCAATTCCCAAACTTGTACTAACCAAGATATTTTCTAAATTTAAAAAGTGCCCCACTTCATATCTATAGTTTTATATATTTTTTATATAAAGCACCTTATTAATATCCTTTTGTTGTACCATTTTATCCATTTGTATACTTCAGTTGTCACCACATTACTCTGCCTTTTTAAAGGGAATGTAAATTATGGTTATTTAATCTGTAGGGGAGGTTACAGCAACCTAGGATTAACCATCTTTCTCTGCACATACTGTACTCAACAAACTTCTATAGTATGGTGCCCAAAATTTAACTACATAACCAAAATGTCTTATTAATAATGCTTCATTTCCTTATTTTGAAAATGTACACATTTCAAATATTGTACTTTAAAATGAACAAATTTTAATGTACTGTATTTAAAGTTAACTAATGTATATCTTAGTTTTACAATTATTTAATTAACATATCCAGATCTTTTTTATTTTTTATTTTTTGCTGTCAGATTTAGCAATTTCAATATTGTTCAGCTGATATAATTAATGACTTAATATCATAAAGTGGGCTGGAAACCCTTAACTAAATGGCATTTGCCAGTCTTGTCAGTATTAAATGTCTGTTCGTGTAAATTGTTCCATTGCCATCGAGTCTGAAACTGCCACCCTGTTTTAGTATCATTAGCAAATTGATGTTTGCTAATTGATTAGCCAATGATGTTCAATCCTGTATCTGAATTGTTTGTGGAGAAGAGCTGGTGAGATTCACAATGTTTTCCAATTCTCTGAAAAGGTATCTTAAAACTATACTCCCAGGCAAATGCTGAATGAAAAAATGATGTACAGTATCTTAAAAACCAATTACTGTACATTCATTCTCATAATTTAAGCATGATCACACATGTGATGGAGGAGATAATTTTTGTTTAGAAAAAAGTTAATATACTGTACAAAATTTTTGGTGTATACCATAATCTGAATCCCAGAAACCTGAATTTTTTAATAATTTGAATGAATTAGTACTTATTGTGTGCAAATAAATGATAGAAGTAAGCCGATAAGTGATGAAAATGCGAGGCGAAACAGCGGAAGTGACCAAGTTATGATGCAAGAAAGTGTAAATTTTATAATTTTTTGGACATTCTTGGTAATTTTTTTTTTTTATAAATATTGAATATTTGGCTAATTTGAATGGGGTGAACGCCATATGGTTTCGATTACCAAGCATAGACAATACTGTACTTTCATTTATAGCAGAATAAGTATGTGATGTCTGGATATTATATATAGAAGCTTAACTGAGCATTTGCCCATCCACTTGGGCTGGGTGGTAGAGCGATGGTCTCGCTTTATGCAGGTCGGCGTTCAATTCCCGACCGTCCGAGTGGTTGGGCACCATTCTTTCACCCCCGTCCCATCCCAAATACTTATCCTGACCCCCTTCCAGGTGCTATATAGTCATAATGGCTTGGCGCGTTCCCTTGAAAGTCTTTCTCTTAACTGAGCATTTATTCATGCAGTTTGAATGTATAAGATGGCTAGTTATGCCAGATAGTGTGGTAAACCAGAGGTTACAGTAAGTTTGTGCGGAAGGGTTTGCCAAGCACTAGGGTTGGTAAACAATACTGTACTGTGCACGTTTATTTTTTTTATAAATGTTTGTTAATATTCTGCCTCATTGCAAGCAAGTAGATATCAGATGGCCAAAATGTTTTTTCTTCTTTGGCCCAGTAATGGTGGTGGTTGCATTGCCTTGCATAAGGATATGAATGACAAAATTGTGTAATTAGATTAATGCTTTGGATAATTGTTATACTGCATTATTAATTTGGTAAAACATTAATAATAAATATATTTTATTTCAGGCAACCTTGATACATAATGATTTCAACTTATTGGGTTTATAAGACTGAAGATGGATGATCAGTGAACACACAATTAGTGCTAAAAGTAACTTTGAAAATGAGTGCTATATCTAGACTCTCTTTGACATCAACTATACAGAACCAAAGTAAACTTTACCTAACATGTAAGAATATTTGACCAGATAATAAGTGAATGAGCTCTAGACGATACTAAGGGAGGTTGTAAAAAAATTTCTTTTGCGCTTGAATGTTTAACTCCCCAAAAAAGTACTGTAGTAATCTTTTTGGAAAAATATATTAAATAATATGGATGTTGTATGATACAGAAACAAAGTGAAGATAATAATGTTTTAAAATTTAAATGATTAAAGTTACTACCCATGATGTATATGGAGACAGGTATCATAACAAGTTCATGAAGTTTGACAATACAGTATATACTGCAGCAGTTATGAGTTTCAGTGAAAAAAATGTTTCCATTCGTGGTGATGCTGACCCTTTGCCTGCTTATAAAGTCCAAAAAAGAGAAGATAATAAGAAAACTAGAAAGGATTCGTTAAGAAAAAAACCATTGCCCTTGAGCTATGCAAGTACAGTTAAGCCTGCAAGCTATAGTGGTAAACAAGTAATTATACCCAATCATACACTAACCAGAAAACCAAGTCATTGTATAGCAATGGGGGACTCTTCCAACCCTAAGGTTAATTTTCCAAACCATATTGAAGGGGTTAGTATGTTTGGCCCCGATAAAGTATTGCTGGTGAAAGTTACGGATAATAGAAATGATGTTGAAAGTATGAAAGGAAAGTCTTTAGTAAAATTTCAAGAAAAGCCATTTTCATTTGGATCCTTTGGAAACAAACTGGTTAAGTTAACCTCATCAAGAATAATGGAAGAAAAGAATATTAATGATACTAGGTTAGGAAAGAGGGAGGCAGACTTTGTATTAGAAAGGTCATCATATCAGCAAAGTGGTGTATGTGTGAATTATGAACCCATTAAACTTAAAACTCAAAGTAAAGCAAGTCATGAATCCGGTAGCATAATAAATAAAACTCTGCATTCCAACATAATTAATTATAGAGATATACCAAACAAACCCATCACAAATAATAGTTCAGAAAAATCCTTTCCTTATGATAGATGTTTAGCTGATACAGGCACTAACTCTATTAAAATAAATACAATCAATATATTATCTAAAAGGAAGTGCAGTAATGAAGGCAGTCAAAAACTAAAATATACTCTGCCTGGTTTAAATAGCATGGCATTTTCTGGAAATGGTTCCATGGAAGACACGCAACAAATATTTTCAAATTCAACACGCAAGGCATTTAATGTTCAAAATACATTATCGGAAAGCTCTAATGTGTATGGTGGATGCTTAAAACAATCCAAGGATGAAACATACCAGGTTAAGTGTTTGGAAGATGGCTGCTGTAGCATTAAAAAGATACAAGAAAGACCTGAAGTATTTCAGTCAAATGACAAAAAAATGATTCCTAAAGTATACAAGCTGAGTACTGGGAAACAACATTACAAGCAAATGGAATTACAAAAGCTTAGAGATAGTAATTCATCCAAGAGCTTTTTTTCTTCATCAAATGATAATTTTGAAAGCTTGCTAGGCAATCTGCATCACAGTCATGGAACCAAGGAAACTATTCCAAATTTAGATAATGTTGAATATTTGTTTCCTTCCCCAGATGTGGACAAGTCCACATATCAAAATTATACCAGTGATACTGCTAACGAGTGTGTGCCTCAAAATGTGTTAAAACCTCCTGAAAAAAGTTCAGCTGAGCTTAGTAATTCCTTCCACTTAGCAGGTCAATCTGACTTGAATGTGAAAAACTCTGAAAGGCTTCCAGACTTTACAGAATGTTTTTCAACTTCTGGCAAAATAAATTCAGTGAGGACTGCACCTGCATCATTTCCTGATGATTACTTTACCCAGCAAAAAAGTTATTCTCCAAGTAATTCTCTCAACACAAGCAACCATGATAACGAAAGTTCCTTGAGGGGTTTAGAAGATCTTATGTTACAAGATTTACCAGAGCACATTGAGGTAAATAAGGATGACAAATTTACAGATTTAAATTTTTTGGATCAAACTGAAGTTTCTGAGGAATTTTGTGTAACCAGTGATACTGCAAATTTAATTAATGGCAGTACAAATTATGTTACCGATAGCATCTCGTCTGCTATTTCGTGTTCAGAAGCATGGCACCTTGAAACGGGTATCATAAAACCAGCTCAGAATGTGTGTGACAAATCGGTATTTGGAAATGGAATAGTATCCTCGCAGGAAAATTCCTCTGATGTAACAGTTGCATCTCAAGTCTCCACAAGTAATGTGGTGTGGACCCTTCAAACACCACAACCATCAGTTGCTTCCAACTTTAAATCACTTACTAACCCTAGAGAAATGGTTGCTGATGAAATGAAATCTAGTAATGGAAAGGGCAATTATTGTATTGAGACATGTATGGATGATTTACTTAAAAACTGCATTGATGAAAATGTAAATGTTGACACAAATCATTGTAGTTTAATGGACAAATTCCAAAAGGTTGATGATAGCTTTTCAACAAGCATTTTGGGATTTGACAAAGAAAGCAAAGCCAGTATGGAATTAAACAAGAACATGTGGTCTGAAAATTTATTGAAGTCAGACAATGAAGTGCATTCTGGTTGTGCCGATAATAATTATACCTCTGAAGTGCTAGCTGTGACCAAGTACTCATCAGAAAGTTTATCCACTGGATATTCAGAAGTTCCTACGTTAAGTGACTGGACATCAGACATTAATTCTGATATTGATAATGTGCCTCTCTTGCTAGCAAAAGGTTCAAATTTAGTAACTTCTGCAGATGCTGAGAATATAATTATAAAAAACAACCTGCAGCCAACACACACGAAACTGAAGGAGCTGAACCCCAACATTTCCAGTAATGAATCGTCAGACAAGTTAGAAGTAGTGCCTTTAACACAAGTCGGCAGTTTGTCTGAACCTTATAATTCGATAGATGCATATAATCCTAATGATATTAATAACTTGCTAGATTCTTTTTTCAAAGAGACTGAACAACATGGTGTAGATACTGATGGTAGTAAAAACTCGTGTACATATCCCTTGATTGACGAGTTAAATTTTTCAGCTAAGAACATGGGAGTTGATGATAAATCATTGATGGATGATATTTTTAAAGATATAGATAATGACAACTTTACCTCATCAGCTGAAAAGGATGATATAGAAATTTTATATGATCAACCAGTGGCAAAAAGAAAAAATGAAGCTGCCTCATCTGGAACAGTGACCTCATTACCACAGTCGATGTCAGGGACTCGACCTAAAAGTGTTTCTGGCATTAACTCGTCTGACAAGACAAAAACTAAATTACAAAGCAAAAGAATACCAAGAAACGTGTCATTCAAGACACGGCCAGCTAGCAGACCAATTAAATGTGTTGTCCGTGGGCAAGTAGTTGAAAATAAATTACAGAAACAACCAAGACCCTTACGTTTTGTTCTGGATAAAGACAGGAGGCTGCAGAACCAGGATGGCTCTACATCTTGGCCTAGGAGAGAGGAATTTAACCCTGAAAAATTTAACCTCCCAAGAAACAAAAATGCAAGCAATAAGATGAGGCAAATAGAGAGTAGCATTGCAGTAGGTTCACAGATAAAGCCTATGCCTAATATACTTCCTGCAACATCTGTTTCTACAGGTGATATTGCTACAACAGTTAACAAAATAATGGTGCCATATAATATGGCTGAAGCTTCTAAGTTTGTTTTGCCTGTTGGAAGAACTGGGTTAAGTATCTCTATTCCAAAAACTGCTCCAACAAGCATTGCATCTTTCATGCCAGCTCCAGAAACAAAGTGTTACATACCTTCATTAACCAAACAAACAAAGAAAAATTTCTCTGAGGCCCAAGTTGTTGCAATCACGACTAATGTTAAATCTCAAACTCCAGCTCTGGTGTCTAATCTCCCTGAACAGAGAAATGCTGTTATCCTGTCCCAGGATGCAAGAAAAATTATAATTCCCACAACTGTTATAACTCAGCCAATGTATCATGTGCCCATTCCTCAAACTTCAACCATAGAATCGCTCTACGTGATGGTCCCAGCCTGTTCAGGTGCACAGTTCGTGTCTGGATCTGGTACACCATCACTGGTGCCTAACATTCTACCTTGGAATACATCTGCACCACTATGCAGTGCTAATTCTGTAATCCCAGCTCAAGCTGGCAGTTTTACTGGTAAACGGCCAATTGCAAAATATTGTCTAAAAAGCTATGTTCATCCAATTGCTTCCAAAGGCAACACTGTAAAGTCTGCTGCATTTTTAAGTACAAAGGCGCCTGTGGCATTTGAGGATAAAACATCAGAAACTGTTAAAATATTAATAAATACTAAGGCCAACAGTATAGATAATGTGGACACTTCTGTAAAGTTACAAGAAGAGGGTGTGTCCACTGATGAAATAATTAGTGACCAAAATTTAAAATCTGATTATGTCCAGAAACTTCGACACAAGATATTGAAGAAGAAACCCTACCCTGACTATATTCATAAAAAGTTTAGTAAACTTCTCAGAGATGAATTAAGACTACACTTACCAAATATTCCAGAGTCTATTCTTATGTTACTTAATCTTCCACCTCAAGCTGTTGAGAGAGGCTACTTCAGTCTGAGAGACTTAAATGCTTTACGTACCCAGGCATTAAGACTACGTTTAGGAATTATTTTTAGGGACCATGTTAAAGTTTGCAAAGTTCAAAACTGTGCAACATGCTTTGAATTTCTCCAACAAAAAGAATCATTCTCATTGGCAGAAAAAGAAAAATCTGCAAGTTCAAAGTTGAGAGTTCGAAGCAGGTCTAACACTGGAAGGGGGCGTTCTCGTGGCCGGGGCCGTAAGAGAAGAGGGGGACGAATTGCTTTTGAAGAACGTGAAGATGATCCCAGCTATGAACCACCTCAAAGCTTCTTTGCCACCTCAAAGAGGAAATTTGAAGATAACCAAAACAAAGCTGTGAAAATATCCAGATCATACAATTCTTCTCAGAACTCTTTCAAGCCTGGTGTATCATCAGATTTGGTTAATGAAAGTAAAGCCATGGATAACCTCTTGTGCTGTGTGATGAAAATGAAACGATCAAATTCTGAATCGGACATTCACACACTAACAGAAATACCTGTAAGTTCTATTAAAGATGACAGACCTCGTAGTTTTGACGATTCCTACCTCATGCTCTATCACACTATTAAAGACTCGTGTAGGTGCCAAAGTTTGTTTTGGTCAGGAAATGTTAAAAGAAGTAATGATAATAAAAATAGCAAACTTAAACAAATTATACAAGATGATTGTGAAACCAAGATCGTAACAAAATTGGAAAGTTTTCAGCATATGTTGAAGGCTGCGGCTTATGATTTACTCTTGAAAAAACAACTAGAAAGAGGTGAGTGCTAACTCTTTTTATTAAGTTTGGTAGGATAACAGGTTTTTAATGATAAATTTTTAGTCATAAATTGGTTAAAAAATTTGTTTTTCAAAATCATGTGGTACAATTTTGTTGTGTAGTGCCCTTTGGTATGTATTTTGAGCAATAATTTTGTCAACTATTATATTCCACAAAGGCACCAAATAAACTGTTTAACATTAAAGGGTGTGCTTTATTGTGAATCTAATTCTAGTGATTACCCAAGTGTAGTTACAGGATGAGAGCTGCACTCGTAGTGTCTTGTCATCCCAGTACAGTAATTTATCAGATAAGGCGTTGAAACTACTGATGGTTTTGGCCTCCACCACCACACTTGTTCCAACCGTCTACCGCTCTGTTTGCAAAAGTGAAATTTCTAATATTTTTTTCTGCAGGTTTTTTGTTAGTTTGAACCTGCCTCCTTCTTGAAGTTGCAGTTTTCAAAAACTCTTCTTTGTCAATTTTGTCAATACCTGTTAATATTTTGTATGTAGTGTACATATCACCTCTCTTCTATCTTCTAGCTTCGTATATTTAATACCTCTAACCTCTCCTTATAGCTCTTGTTTTTCAGTTCCCAGAGCCATTTAGTTGCATATCATTACACCTTTTTCAGTTTGTGTGCTTGCTGAGACGGGGACACCATACAACCACTGCATATTCCAACTTTGGTTTCAGAAAGGTCATGAACAATTTCTTTAACAATTTCTCTATCCTTGTACTTAAAAGCACTTCTAAAGTTGTAAGCATAGCATACAAATCCTTGCACATTGTTCTTTATGTGGTCCTCAGGTGACAGTTTTCTAAACAGAACCACCTGTACATCTCTACAGTATAAGAATTCTTTTAAAACCCCCATTTGCCTTGATGATCCTCTCCAGGTGGATTTTAAAACCTAACAGAGTTTTGGCATTTCCAGAGGGTTTTGGCAGGTAGTCGGTTCTATGGGTTTTTAACCCTGTGGGTGAAAAAGCATCTCCTATTTTCAGTCCTACATTGAGGTTTGTTGAGCTTGAAACCATTGCTCTTTGTTTGTGTTACATCTGAACTTTTGAAGAAATTGTCAGGATCAACATCCTCCAACTCATTTAGTATTTTAAAAGTTTCAATGAGATCTGCCCTCTCATTCCTGTGGCCCTCAACCATTCCTGATACAAGAGATGACTTGTTGCCCGGTGTCGCACTTTCTCCAGAGCAGCTATATCCTTCTGAAAGTGAAGTCTCCATGCTTGGATACAGTAATCCAAATAGGGGCACACAAGAGACCAAATCCTCCTTAAAATCATGGGTACGCTTGATTATTCCGAGGGTTTGGTTAGCTTTTCTGACTGCTGCTCCTACCTGTTTTGCAACTTTTAGTGAGTGGTGGAATTCAACTCCCAGGTCCTTTTTCTCATCAGTCTGCTGTAATGTAATAGCATTGATTTGGTAGTTATGGCATGGGTTATGCCCCACATGCAAGATTTTTTCATTTGTCAATATTAAATTAAAAAGCATTTGCCAGTCTTCTGACCATTTGTGGAATTCATGTACTGTAGATCTCTCTTGTAAGGCTTCAATATCATTATAATTTCCCACTTTACTAAAAATCTTTGTTTCATCTGCAAAGTTAATGATGTGGTTTGTAATAATCCTATCTGTCATTAATGTGCAGTATATGACAAAAAAGATTGCCCCCAAAATGGACACCTGAGGTACCCCACCTACCATATTTTTCCACTCAGATTTGTTCCCATTTAGCACTACCCCTGTTTTCTTTGTTTCAACCATTGTTTTATCCATTCTAGTAATTTACTACTTACTCCATGGGCCTGTAGTTTTCTTGCCAGTCTTTCATATGGTACCTTGTCAAAGGCTTTAGCAAAAGCCACCACACCTGGGACCTTTGAGTCTTTTAGTTTGTCAATTTTCTTCCCGATTGTCACATGTTATGGGTATATCCCTAAATTCGTTCTCCTCACCACCTGCATTCATTTGTGTGGGTGATGGGATGTCATCTAACCTTTCTAGTGTTGTAATGATCTGGGGCTCAGATCATTGGTTCTCCCTTCTCCCCTCTTTTCCCTCCCCTTCTCCCCTCCTTTCCTTCTCCCTCTCCCCTCCTTTCCTTCTCCCCTCCCCTTGGCCGTCATTCGTCGCCTCCTCTTCCCCCCCCCCCTGCCGCCCATTTGTCAGGGTCAAGAGGTTGACCTGAGGGTAGGGTGGTCGTGGATACCTTGGCTTCTCCCACTCAACTTCCCCACTCAGATATTTCCCTCTCCACCCCCTCTCATCCCCTCTCATCCCTCTCTGTCCCTCTCAGCAGCGGCCTTCCCCATACCAGGCAGAGTCAAATGTCCCTACTCCTATCTTAGAGGAGACAGGCTTGAACATAAATTATCAGTTTTGTAAACATTGCTCGCAGGTACCTGGGCTCCATAGACGCGCCTTGTCCCCCTTCTCTTTAGCTGGGGAGAGCTGACTCAATCTTCAGAAATTCATGTAGCTTTCCACGACAGATCAGTGAAGGTGATTGGCCTGAGATAAGGGCCAAGTCCTTATTGGCCCTAGAGAGCCAGACCTCAGGCCTACGTGTTAAATGGTTGGCCATTGCCAAAATAATGGGTGGAGCCCTGGGGCTGTATTAGATGGTGGGAGGAGTAATCCTTCCCAGCAATAAGTTGGAAAAACAAAATTTCATCAGTGTGTCTTGGGAGTGTATTAGGAACAGGGCCGCAAGCCCGTATCCTCGGGGCTGAGGGCAGCCATCAACATCTTGGCCGTGGTGCGGGTATTTAAGGTATAGTGCACTTGAGTTTTGTGTCCTCGGTAAATATCCATTGTGCCTCTAGGGAAAATAGAATAGGTTATGTGTTCAAATTGTCTTGATTTACATGTTTCATAAAATAAATTGTATAGCTTGTCCAGTGGTATTCACTTAACTCCCCTTTGATATATTTTGCTACTTTGTCATTTTTAGGTGTTGTATTGGAAGCCCCCCCAGGTTCTCCTAACAATTAATCGATACTAAAGTTGCCCTTGGATTCAAATAAGTAACGTAAATTACACAAACTAATTTTCCAAAATTTATTTCTGAAATTCATATTACCCGGAGTCCCAGGGTTACTGATTCCTTGCCTTCCTGGGGGATCGGTGATTGACACATTCAGGTATGGTTGGTCAGGAAGGTGGTGGCAGTGTAAATGTGTTTTGTTATTGTTTTTTTTTTAACTAATAACCCTTGTCCTTGGTGTATCTTCCTCATTTAATATTCCTCTTACATACGTGGCAGTCCAGTGAGGGGTCATACTGGACTGTAACAGTGTTAAGCTGGGGTATTGAGTGAAGAGACAGAGATGTGCAACAGAGAGCGTATATTACGATCACGAGAGATAACAAGATAACAGGATTAATACTGGGGAACATTGGGTTATTGGGTTATTACATAGAGGCCGCGGTTATTACAGAGGGAAGAGGTCGTTACAGTGTGAACACTGATGTAAAATATTCATTTTGAGCATTTGTTGCCAGTTTGTCCATTATAACTGTTAGTCTCATCTATTAAGGTTCCTAAAGAGTCCTTTTGTTTTGGTTCTACTTCTTTTATAGGCATAGAATGATTTTGTATCTTTCATTATTTTGAGCACATTTTCTTTCATGGTTTATTTTGGCTGATCTGATTTTCTGGATAGAGTTTAGTGCCCGTTTTTTATATCATAATTATTGATGTTCATCGTAGATTTATATGTTCTCCAGAAGTTCCTCTTGGTTATCAATGCTTATTTTACGACCTGTCATGCATCTTGTCAATTTCTTTTCTTTCTCCTTTTTGGCACATATTTTTAAGTTCCGTGATGACACTCTTGAAATTCTGCCATGATGCTTCCATGCCATGTTTGCCTATCAGCTCCCTCCAGGAAATGTTTAACAGTTCCTTTCTCATTCCTGGATAGTCTCCTCGATGGTACTTTAGAAATTCATTGCCATTTATCTTTGTGAGTTTCTATATTCATAGTCCATCTTAAAATATGGTTATCACACGAGGAACTAGCTTTTCCACAACTGAATTTGATCAATCATGGCCTCTTCTGATAAGAAAAGGGCATTCAAGATCATGCACAACATCTAGAATACTGCTACCATGTGTGGGCTCTACCACATGCTGTATGAGAAAGGAGTCCTGTACCAGGCCTGAAAATTGTTCTCCTGCTTGTGATGTTAGATTTCACATTCTATGGTTTCGTGGTTAAAGTTCTCATGATTAGTTTTTGGGTTTCAGTTGTCACATTGATCACATTATACAGATTTCCAATTTCCTCTGCCGTTGCTGTGACAGCCCTGTAGCATACTACCACTGTCATTTTTACTTCCATCTTGAGTTAGTATGTTGGACTATACAGACTGAGGATCCCATGGTGTTCACTTCCTCATTATAGATTGCATCCACGTCCTCTTTCACACACAGCATCACCCCACCTGTTCATGTTTTTTTTTTGTCTTTTCTGAAAGGTGGGTGGTATCCTGAGAGAGAGAATTCCCCTTCTTTTATGTGCTGTCATCCCCATGTTTCACTGATGCCAATGATGTCAGGATTTTCAGCCTCAGCATACACATAATGAGTCAAATTTACTCACTAGGCTTTCGACATTTGTGTAAAAACAATTTAAATTCCTGATATTGTTCCTTGGGAGGGCTGAGAGATTGCTCCTGTATTACATTACTATTTTGTATACTGTCACTCTGGTTTTGAACCAGTTTGTCTTCCGAGATATATAGTTACCGGTAGTTCTACCTAGCTTAGTGAATGACTTCTCCCACTTCTTCTATCTGGATCACCTGCCTTCTTTTGATCTTTAGCTTTGCATTTTTTTAATTAATTGTTCTTTGTTTCTTAACTCCTTCAGTTGAGTTGAAGATGAGAGAATTTTCATTTGTCTTGCAGCTTGACTGCATGTTCCTGCCCAATGGACATAGTGGAACATACTTCATGGAGCAGGAGAAAGATCGGCTCATGATGTGTTTGCTATATTATTGTCCAGTTTATTATCATATGACTTTATTTGTATATATAATAATAAATATGGTGGTGACTACTCCTTCATTTGTAGATTTTGTGCCGTTCTTCAAGAACGAAGGAAGTGAGCAAAATGAGAAGCCAAGCTTTGGAGTCTGTCCCAAGCCACTGTATCTTGACCTTCTATCGTTAGAGATTGGTCCATTTAACATTGCAGGCAAATATAACATTCGCCACCCCAAACTGCATGTAATGTATACTGCAAGGTACAGTATAGTATTTTTGTTTTTATGGTTGCTGTAATACGGCAAATGTTTTACTTAGATACAAGTATAATATAGCTGATTTAAATGATTTCAATAGATCCTTCTCCATATGCATGTCCTGAAGCTTTTTAAACTACTTTGTGAACGTTTTTTCTGGAATAAAAAGGATCTTCTTCATTTCACTCATCATTTTCTATAATATACTGTATTGTATACTACAGTAGATAGGTATAAAAATGCATTCCAGTTCATTTTGTTATTAAAGTGTGTTTCATATGGTAATATAATACAAAAATATACGCTTGAAGTAAAACAAAAACACAGTATTAAACATAGGATAGGCTATGTAATGACCTAAATATACTGTAATTACCTGTACTTGAATGTAGCAACAGGATACAGCCACATTATAGCCAATCTTTTTCATATTTCTTACCATATTTTGTTTTAATCTGCTATGGTTTTTCATTTACTATTTAATCCTGTTATATCCCATTTTTCTGTAACTCTAATTTCTAATACTACATTCTTGTATCATTTTGTCCTTACTCTGGTTCTACTTGCTACCAATTATAGGATCTCTTGCTTAATAATCTTCTCCACACAACATTATTTAGACAGTCGCCTCTCATTCTACCAAGTATGGTTTGGTACTTTCAAATCTTCAATTCTTTCATTGCAGCTTTTCCCACACAGTTTTGGTACTCGTATGTATTTCTGAACTTGTTTCCTACCAGGAGCAGAAATCAAAATGCTTACTCCTCAGAGGTGAGGGAGCTGTGGGTGCCAAAATACTGCCAAACATGATACTATCCCATTTACTGTTGTAAATGGAATGCGTTTGATGTAAAGGTCTTGTGTTATGTCTTGTCTTTCAGTGTTGCTATATTTGTTGACTATTTTGGTGGTGTTGGTTAGGATCTCCAGCTATGATCTGGGGTTGTTTTTAAGTGATTGTCATCTTTACTGAAGCTTTCTTGTTTGTGCAGTCAGGTGGTGTACTTCTCTTAACCAAATGTTATATTGTGTAGTTTTGGGCAAATTTTCGTTTGTAGATTCTTTTGGTTAATCTGATTCCCTGGATGGCTGAATTTAATGCCCTTTTATATATCTCATAATCAAAGATCATCTTCATGGATTTTATACCTTCTCCAAAGGTTCTGCTTAGTTATCAAATCTCTTTTTACTACTCGTTATCCAACTACAGTACTGTACTGTAGTTCCCTTTCTCCATTTTAGTACATTTTTTGGGGGAAGCCCTGTTGGCTCCCTGGAGGTATCCAGGCTGATATGTATTATATTAGTTTTCTGGCATCAGTCAGTGTTCATGGGGTTCTTGCCTACCGAGGACCACGAGCCAGAACCTGGCCACCTCAGAGAGGCATGAGGAGCAGTGTCCTATAGAACACCCCCCCCCCAGGTGGTTGGAAGCATTCTATGTCTGCCATCGACCAGGTCTGGCACCCAGAAAGGTGTAAGTGCTCCAAAACAAACCCCTATTCTGGTGAAAATATTACTAACGAAACCCGAACGAGTGGACAGAACTCCCCAAACGAAAATTAGCAAACGAGCATGACGTCATCACGTTGCCGTGCCACTGTTTGCGCAACCCCTTCCCCCCCCCCCACCCTCCCCAAGAGAGGGGAATCAGGAGCTCCAGACCCTCGCGCCAGGGATACAACTGCCAGTTCTTGACTGATGTGATACTGGCAGGTCATGTGCCTCTGACTCCTGCATTGGTTTCAGTTTGTGTGCCTTGTGGCGTGGTCTGTCTCTGCAGGTGGTGTGTGACCCAGGAGTAATATTCTACAGCACTTGGGCTGCAGGTGCTTAGGGTTTCCTTCCCTAGGTGCCCAGTAAGCACTGCCCTTGGGGCTTGGAGGCCACCTTCCACAAGTCACCTTGGGTTCCACCTCCGATATGTCTTTTACTGCTCGGTAATCGGCCGCCCTTGGAGTCAGCTGGGTTTTTGTTGCCCTCATTTGCCTCTGAGTAGGGGGTAGTTTTTGTTGCTGGTAGGGGTGCAGGGTACTGCACAGCTAGTTTTCACCTATCATAGTGACTGACTCTGTTCCGCCTGGGTATGTTGTCCTCTTGTGGGGTTTTTCTTTTTTCCTGCCAGGTGGGGTGGAGGGTCTGCCTGTGGTTGGTTGCCCCATCTCAATTTAGGGTTTATATATTCATATTCGTCTTCTTGGTGGTACCCCTTGCTAGTCCCCGGTGAGTGGATACGGCAGGCAGCTTCGGCTAGTTGCCGTCCTATGTCGGATTTGTTAGTCCTCTTGGGGTGGGGGGGGCTTCCCAGAAGGGTTGGGCCAGGACTTAGGGTTCTTCCCGTCGTGGTAGGCCGGTGGTGCCAGATTCGGCGCAGGTGCAGCCTTCGGTACCGTCTTTCTCTGGTCGGCACGAAGGATTGCCTTGTTCACCGATTAGGTTCTCGTAAGGTGCGTTGGCCCTTTTGCAGTTCGTCCCATTGGCGGGGTGATGGGAGGGAGGCTCACTTTGTTTGCTCGCGCCTGGTCCCACAATTTGTGAGCCTTTCGGGTCGTTTCGTGCGGCCTGCAGTGGTGTTAGGTGGCTCCTCCTCCTTTGGGCGGTTTGGGCAGGCCACTTCTCCTGCGCTCTGTCAGGTCATCTCGGAGTGGGTTTGCTTGGGCGTGGTTGAAACGAACTCGTCTCTCAGGTGGGTTTCCTGCCTGTTTCTGGTCCCAAAACGGCACTGCGCGGATTCATTCTGGACTTATCCCGTGAATTTATTGCCACTCCTTTCGGATGACTACTCTGTCCCAGGTTCATCTTCTATTGGAGCCGGATGCTTAGATGGTGTCTCTGGACTTCAAGAACGTGTATTGGCACATCCCGATTCATCTGAGGTTCAGGGATTGGCTTGGTTTTGCTGTGGGGCGTCAAGGTTACCGATTTCGTTGCCTTCAATTCGGCTTGAATCTTGAATCTTTTCACACACCTTACTCGGGTCGTGGTGGCCTGCCTGCGACTGTTAGGTGTTCGGGTTCTGGCCTGCCTGACTACTAGCTGGTTTGGGCTCCCAGCCAGTTCGCGTGTCTGCTCGCCAGGGATTTGGTGCTCTCCCAGCTTGTTGGGTTCGGGTTCTTGGTGAACTGGCAGAAGTCCTATCTGGTTCCCTCTCAGGTTTGGTTTGGGCTGGGTCTTGTGTGGGACACTCGGACTGCTTTCTTGTGGGTTTGGCCTCTGGGGGCTTTGTATCGGTTGCTGCGGCACCGGCTTCCTCTTTGGGTTTTTCGTGGTTCAATGCCTTGGCGACTACCCGAGCCCTCGCTCGATGTATTCACGGATGCGTCATCTCTTGGCTGGGGCTTTATGACCAGTGCTCACCAGGCTGGCCAGGGATGATGGGGTCCATCCTTTCATAGGGCTCACAGCACAGTGCGAGAGTTGTCGACTGTGTGAGTGTCGCTCCGGAGGATTCGGGTTGCTCGTGGAGCAACAATCCGGCTCCATTCACCCTGGTGGTGCATTGCCTGAACTGAGGGGGTTCGATGCAGTCCTATGCAGTCCTTGGCTCTTTGGGGCTGGTCGCTTCAGGTGACGCGTCTGCCGAGTTCTTGGGGTTTGGCTCTCCTGGTGGTTCATGTATGGAGGGGGGAGTATCCAACGGTTTGTCCTGGTTCATTCCTTGTCCTTCATGGAATGGACGGTCGATGCCAACTCGTTCAGTTGGCTCTGGAAGTGGATCTCTGTGTCGGCATGGTCGAGGTGTCTCCCAGTATACGTGGTACCCTTTCCCGACTGCGAGACCATCAGGGTCGACGCCTTCAGGCAGGATTGGGAGAGGTGGGGTTACCTGTACCTCTGACAGGTAACTGATAGGTACAGAGGTACCTCTATACCTCTGACAATTTCTGACTCGAGTCAGTCATCACTTGTATTGGGCGCAGGTTGCTTCATGTTGGTTTCCCACCTATGTGCTTCGTCTTGGCGGCAGTATGAAGTTTCCTGGCGGTCCTTCCAGTTTTTCTTATCACTGCATAGGTGTACCTATGCACCTCTGCACCTATGTACACCGGTCTCTGATAGGGTTGTCTTGTCCTTCCTTTTGTGGTTGTTCCACGACTGTCATCTTAGGCCGAATACTGTTGCCTCGTTTCATGCGGTGCTGGCGGAGCCACTCCAGCTTGCATTCGGTATTGATGTTACTGTACTTTTGCCCATTTTCCACAAGCTGTTTTGTGCATTGTTTCACCTCCGGCCTGCACATGCTGCTCTTGAGCCATCCTGGTCTTTGGACTGGATGCTCTTTTCCTCTCTCCTCGGTTTGTAGTGGCCCCTTCAGTTCAGGGTTGTTTTTCTAATGCTCTTTCCCTGTTTGCATTGGCCTCTGTGGGTTGGGTTGGGGAGCTTCATGCTCTCTGGTGCAGGGGGTTTCTGCTCCTTCGGTCCTGGTGGTAGGTTTGTTTGGTTGCAACCGTCAACTTCTTTTCTGGTGAAGAATGAGTGTGCTGCTTTCTGGAGGGATCCTTTGGTTGTTGCTTGGTTGGTCAGGCCCAGAGGTGCATCGTGTGTTGTGTCCGGTTGCGGCTCTCCGGCGTTATTTGTGTGCTACAGCTTCGGTGACCGGGGATGCACTTTGGGTTGATCGGATTTCCCTCTTTTCCCTGTTCTTGGACTTGGGTCTCCAGGTCGTATGCAGGGTTATTAAGTCTAACCAGCCTGTCGTCTATCCCCATACCCACGATGTTCATAAGTTTGCTGCCGTCTTCAGCAACATGTCTTGGGTTGACATTCGGGCACAGGGTTTTTGGAGGTCGAACAGGGTCCTGGCCACTCACGACTTTGTCAATGTCCCTGGACCTGGTAGGGCCTGCATTACATTGGGTCGGCGGTTGCAGCCAGTTGTCTCGACTTTGTGTTGAGGAGTGAGGACTGACTGAGTCCCGGGTAATTCCACGTGTTTTTCCTTTGTCTTTAGGTGGTTAGCTCCAAGGAGCCAATGGGGCTCCCCCCAGAAAACCAGCGTTGAATGTAATGAAACGCCATTTTCTGGGCGAGTTCCAGAGACTCCCCGGCATCCCTCCCTCCGGTCAGCAGTGTTTATCGCGTGTTTTTGACATACCGCCTAAGAACTGGCAGTTGTATCACCAGTGCGAGGGTCTGGGGCAACCTCCCCCCCCCTCCCCCCAGTGAGGAGGAGGGGGGTTACGCTGACAGCGACGCAGCAACGTGATGACGTCATGCTCGTTTGCTAATTTTCGTTAGTTCTGTCCACTCGTTTGACTTTCAGTAGCAATATTTTCACCAGAATAGTGGTTTTGAAGCTCCTACCTTTCTGGGTGCCAGACCCTGTCGATGGCAGACATAGAATGATCCTAACCACATGGAGGTTCTATAGGCCATTGCTCCTCGTGCCTCTCTGAGGAGGCCAGGTTCTGGCTCGTGGTCCCTTGTAGGCAAGAACTCCATGCACATTGATGCCAGAAAGCTAATATAATACATACCAGCCTGGATAGCTGAGGAGCCTCCGGGACTCGCCCAGAAAATGGCATTTCACTACATTCAAAGCCGAGTTTTTTTAACGTGTTCAGTAATAACCACCTTGAAATTTTCCCATGATAATTTTTTTTCTTCTTCTTCTTCTTCCTCTTCTTCTTCTTCTATGCAATGGTCACCTATCAGCTCCCCCCCAGGTGGTGTTTTGCAGTTCCTTTCTCATTACTTGATAGTCTCTTCAAGGAAAATCTAGAAACTAATGATCATGGACATTTATGTGCATTTTAGAATATTTTGATCGCACAATGGGGTGATCTTTTCCACTACCTCAATTTGATCAATCATGACCTCTTCAGATGTTAGCATAAGATCTAGAATGCTGTTACCTTGAGTGGGTTCTGCTACATGCTGTGTGATAAAGGAATCCTGTATCAGCTTGCCCTTCTTCTGTTCTTTCTAAGTTGTTCTCTCATCCATCCCTGTTCCTTTCCTCTGGCTTCTTGGCAGTAGAATTCTGCAGTTGCAGTTCAGTTCATTTTCTGAAGCAATAAAATATTTTTGCCTTATAGTGGTAGTTATTAAAGCAAGTTTTGTTAACAAATAATTTATTTGTAATATATTTTTTACACTATATTCACAGAAAAACTTCTTCTTCTTCTTCTTCTTCTTCTTCTTCTTCTTCTTCTTCTTCTTCTTCTTCTTTTCTTCTTCTTCTTCTTCCTCTTCTTCTTCTTCTATGCAATGGTCACCTATCAGCTCCCCCCCAGGTGGTGTTTTGCAGTTCCTTTCTCATTACTTGATAGTCTCTTCAAGGAAAATCTAGAAACTAATGATCATGGACATTTATGTGCATTTTAGAATATTTTGATCGCACAATGGGGTGATCTTTTCCACTACCTCAATTTGATCAATCATGACCTCTTCAGATGTTAGCATAAGATCTAGAATGCTGTTACCTTGAGTGGGTTCTGCTACATGCTGTGTGATAAAGGAATCCTGTATCAGCTTGCCCTTCTTCTGTTCTTTCTAAGTTGTTCTCTCATCCATCCCTGTTCCTTTCCTCTGGCTTCTTGGCAGTAGAATTCTGCAGTTGCAGTTCAGTTCATTTTCTGAAGCAATAAAATATTTTTGCCTTATAGTGGTAGTTATTAAAGCAAGTTTTGTTAACAAATAATTTATTTGTAATATATTTTTTACACTATATTCACAGAAAAATTGTGTACGAGTTTGTTCTGTGGTTATGTCATGCAAGAGAGACAGAAGTGCAAACAGAAGCACTTTTGTCAACAGATAGCCCCATGCATCTCTTGATCACTATTGATGTGCCGTTCACAACTCTCCGCGCACTCAACATCACTGCTAACAAGGTAAAATATTTAAGGTGTATTAATCAATTTGTGTTTGAGTGGTAGATATGGGAAGGTGGGGTTGGCATGTATGATGTAACCCTGCACTCTTTCCTCCGCATTTACTCTCTCCTTTTTTTTCCACAAGTAATGGTATTTTTTGCTAGAAATGTCTGATGAAATGTTAACAATGAGACCAGTTGGTAGACTATTAAATATCTAAATGAACAAAGAAGAAAAATTCGTCAATCTGGAAACTGACTGTATAAACATCCATGTCAGGGTGTACATGATTTTACATTTCCAAATTGTGTGCATTTCTTTTTTGTTGCATCATTTCTGGATGATATATTGCATGCTTGTTTGGAGTCTCTTTAAATTCAAAACATTTGCCCTGTTGCCCGAGGTTTTGACGCTTTGGTTTAGGAATTAGGGTGGATGTGGTGAAATCTCTTTAGACAGGTTCTCATTCAGTCAGTGAATATCAAGGGACAGATTAACTTTTGTACATTATTCTGATACAAAATATACCACATGCCGTTTCTCTTTCTAGGCCTTTCTCTAGGCCTGTATGTTTTGCATATGAAGACCTATATTCATTATTCCTTCGTATGTTACGGAACATGCCTCCCAAATATATGAAACAACCCTACCAAATTTACATTTGAAAATTTGTACAGCCTTCATTAAATATTAATTCTTAAGGTTTACATAGAATATTAAAATTCATTTAAACTAGCCAAGAGAATTAGCATTATTATTAATTAAAGCATAATTTAAAATAGTCTGCCTGTAGTTCCTGATTTTACACAAATTTTTTATAACACAGTGTTACATACTGGCTCGCCCCAACTGCATTTCTATAAATATAGTACAGTGTACACAGATACGTTGAAAGGTATAAGATTTTCCCAGGATGTGCTTCAGTAGATGATGATATCCTCTTAGTTAATTAGCTTAGCACTGCTTGATCTGGCCAGTAACAAGTTGGGTGGCCTTAGAGACTTTCACTTGGCTAGAGACCTTGATAAATCTAATGGACTTCCTTTTTCCTGATAATAGTATAGCATAACATGTCAAACTTTAAAATTATAGGGCAAGACAGAATTATATTGGTTTCCCCCCCAAACCAGTGACACATTTTTCAGGCTGTAATCCTCTCGATAGTTGACTACATCACAGGTACATATTTACTGCTAAGTGAATAGAATCATTCTATAATTTACCCTTGGTAGTACAGTATATTAACAAAGATTGATTAATCTTTTTTGAAGCATTTTTGTTTATAGACTAAAAATATATGTGGCATTGTATTTTGACCTGTTAAATATTTGTGACCAGTAACTATCAATTACTAACATGTAATTTTAACTAGGTTGCCTAATTCTAACTTTATTTTATGTTAGGTGATGCTGGTTGTGAATACTGTTCCCTTAGTTCAAGTCATGGGTAGGAGAGGAGTATCATGCTTTGTGCTGTCCGAGAAGGATGTCCTGTCACCAAAGCAACACAACTGTGTGTCACACATGAAAGCTGCATTAACTATATATCCTCTTCATAAAGTAAGTGTTACCTTGAGCATAAGTATAGGCACATGTTGGGCTAGTGAGACGCATCTTTTGTTACGGGTTTTGATGCACTGTACTAACATTTACATCATGAAGGTTGCCCCCACTACTTCCTCTCTTGTGCATTTTCTACTTTCTGCGCTCATACTGGAGTGTTGGAAGCAGGTTTAGGATGAAAGAAATTTTGTTTAGCTTGAGAGTAGGCACAATTGATAAAATGCAAAGGGTAACAAAGGCGAGAGAATGATTTGTAGATAAAGGCAATTTTAGAATCAAGAAACTGAAGGTTGCTGATGCGTAAGAGCGCGGAGGAAGAGAGAGACGAGGACACTTTTCTTAACAGGAGGATGGTGGTAAGAAAAGAAGTGAATGTACATGCCACTATGCATGAGTTTGCAGTAGACAGGGAAAGAGAACCCGGACACAGAGCTGTGAATGTGAACGTCAAGAAAAGGAAGGAGGGAATTCATTCCCATTCAACTTTGAAATGGATATACTATTTATCTTTTTCTTTCCTTCTTTCTTTTTCTTTCCCTTGTTTTCTCTTACGATCCTTTGCTTATTCCTATTACTATCCCATTCTTATTCCTGTTGCTATCTCCTTCTTATTGGATGGTTATAAATAGGAGCTGCCTTGTATGGGCCAATAGGCCTTCTGCAGTTACCTTTATTCTTATGTTCTTATTCCTATTACTATCCCCTTTATTACACCTTACCTTTCGTACCTTTTGCCTTGCTTTTTCTTCTTCTAAGATTTTCTTTCTCATCTCTGTCTTGCCTCCTGCCCTTATCAACAGGCTCACCATAGCCCATGCTACATGCACATTTTGTTGAGTAGCTAAATCTAAAACATCATTCCCTTATCAAAATCGACTTGAGAATGACGGACCGAAACGTCGTCGTCCCTTCACTTTCTAGTGTGGTTTGGTCAACACATTACAGCCATGTTATTGTGACTCCTCATCTGCTTATCAATGAGTTCTTAGAAAATATGCTCAAATTTATTTATTTATTTATTTATATACAAGAAGGTACATTGGGTTTGATAGAGTACAGAGACTTGAAGTTTTACATTCTTATAAAGCCACTGGCATGCATAGCATTTTGGGCAGATTGTGCTACAGTATTATTTTATTTTTCATGATGTGTTACAGTATATGAATTTTCTTCACTAGTTGTTGCTGGATCAAGGAAAAGGCCAACTCCTGCATCGTGGATTATGTGGATTTTCGACATGGTTCACCCGAATGCTAGCACAAAGCTTCCCAATTCAGGATGATCATACTCCCTCGTGGTGTCTTGCATCTCATTTGACTGACAGTAATATAGTTTCAGAAGTCTCTGCCACTGGACAAGAAGGCTAGTATGGTTCACATTTTTCTGCATACAATATTTCAATAATAGACACTGTTTCAAACTGTTTAGCCTGTATCATATCACAATATAATGTTAACTGAACTAGTACGTACCTGTTTATACCCCCATACATGTGTAGATGGATATGCACTACACATAAAATTTCAGCCCTATTGATCACATATTAGCACACTCCATCTTTCCATAATGATGATCCTATGCCCAGCACCCTAGCTGACCCATATAGTGCTTTTAAGTTCTTAAAGTATGACAGAGGAAGAGAGAGAGAGAGGTCCAATGTTCAACCTATCCTATAAATATAATGCCACCCATCCTGTAATATACAATAAATTTATGATTTTCATGTTACACTTTTATTTGACATGAGAAATGCGCATTTTAATGTTCTAATTTTTCTTGTTAAAATTGTGTGTGAATTTATTAATAGATGAATGGCAAGTACAGTACTGTATTGCCTTGGGTTTGCAGAAAGGGTGGGGAGGAGTAATTTCCTGACAAATCTTATTGAAAGGAAGACCCATGTTTTTAAGCTTGTTACTGGAATACAGCAAGAGATTAGATAAGCATATTTATACTTGTCTTTAGTTAGGAACAGATGGATAGAATGTATGTTTAAAATGTAATTTAATAAATAATGTTATATAAACTTATTTTTATTAAGCCATTAATTATTAAAGAGAGGGTTGTAGTAATTCATGAATATCAATAATAAATTTGCTTAGCTACATAATAAGTTAGTAAAATCATTTTAATTTTACGAAGTAAAAATTGTGAATGAAAATTCAAAGATTAACATGACAAGTATTTTAAGGAAAGTAATTACTTAATAGGTTGCAGCAACAATGAAAAGCAGATGGCAGGGGCAAACACCCATCAGTTGGGCCCATTCCGAGACACGGCCATCCAGCAAGGCACACAGCCTCTTCTTCAGCTCGGCAACACCCAGGAATGCTCTTCTTGGAAGCTAAATCATGAAGCAAGTACTGTAGATAAAAATTGTGATGAGCCTTGTATCGAGTCGGCTTCAGCAGAAACACGAACAAGTGGAGAAGGTTGTGGAAAAGTACTGGACGATGAAAGCAGTGCTGAAAGCTTCAGTATGAGTAATAATAATGGCACATTTTCAATGACGGCAACTAATTACAATGATTCCTTGAATAATGACATGATGCAAGTGGTTGAAAATAATGTTAATATTAATAATGTCTCCAGTGGGCCATCAGGATGCGACTATCTTGTCTCGACAGTTAAAGCTGCCTTAGAATCTCAGGTATTGTTTATAGTGTGTAATTTACTTTATATATATATATCCCACCAGATTTAATAAAATGAGTTCACTTGTAGAATTAATGAGAAACTATGATGATTTTAAATGGATGGTGCTGAAATGGAGAAGAGGTGTATTTAATGTGTGTGTGTTGTATATAGTAGCCAGAACTGCACTACTTGACCTAGTAAGCATGGCCTGTTTTGCCTAACAACCAGCATGTTTTTGCATATTTCCATGCGTTTCATTTGAAATTATTTCATCCCCTAACAATATTAACATTACATTAATGTGAATTTCTAGGAGAAAATTTTTGGTGCAGGAAGATGGGATGGAACTAAGACTGGGTCACCCTAAATCTGTGCCATGCCTGGAGCAGTGTGCTAAAAGTTAAACAACCCTGAAGTATCATAGTCCATGGGTATAGTGTGCATCTGGGGTGACCCAGGATGCTAGTTATAATAATAATAATAATAATAATAATTTATTTAGGAACAGTACATACATAGTTGCAGCGTTACAGTACAAACATTGTGAGATTTAAAGATAGAGGTAGTACATACAATACCTAAAGCCACTAGTACGCATAGCGTTTTGGGCATAGTTCATAGCGCTCACCCTGTAACTATACTTGGGTAATTACATACATACATACTTACAGGACATGCGTATCTCTCTGCTTCCTGCCTGTCCTTTGCGGTCACTTTGTCCCTCGATAAAATCCCTGGTGAATCCAGTACCTTTGATATCGCTCACCTTGTGCACTTTTGTTCTTATATTGGCATCCTTCATGATATTTACTGCCTTTTGATTATCTTGCAACTTTGAAGGTGCTACATAGTCTCCCGGGTTTGGTGCCTTTGGAGAATTATTTACATCGCTATTTATTTGCAAGAAGGTACAATGAGTTGGTGAGATTACATAGGATTGGTATTTTACATTCATGTAAAGCCACTAACACGCATAGCATTTTGGGCAGGTCAGGTATGTATAACAGATATATATATATATATATATATATATATATATATATATATATATATATATATATATATATATATATATATATATATATATATATATATATATATATTTCATAAATGTATAAATTGGCTTTACAGTATTTGTATTACTACATGTGTAATTGTTGTCAGTAGGGCAACTTGTTGATCTGTGAAAAAGATTGTATACGATCTGTCATCTGATCTTTAGTCTACAATTTATTTGAATACAGTGTTGAATAAATCTAACATAATTTGTATTTTTATACTGTATAGGAAATGTTGCCGCCTGTTTCCTTCAATCCAGGTCTTCAGTTTCCTCTAGCATCTTATGAAGAGAAGGGATGTAATTGTGAAGAAACTTGCCGGTAAGGATACTCGTTTAAAAAGTTTAATGAACTTGATAATAAAGGTATATGTATGCGTGTATGTCTGTATCTAATGTGTATATATATATAAATATTCACATAAACACACACTTAAAATACATTGCATTAACTTGCATTCTTGTATGTACAGTATTAATATTGGTTATTCTAAGTTTCATCATGTAATTAATAGCAGTACAGTATTTTGCATATAAAGTATTACTTTGTGTTGGCAATGTGTGTCCTTGTGTCGTTCTATCCTTACCTCCTTTACATATCCTACTTTTGAACTTTTCAAAGTCATTGATCCATGGGATAAAAAGTTTCTACCCCCTCTTGTTCTGAAACAACTTTTCCTTGAACATTTTTCTTCGCACTGGCATTCTATTGCCATCTTTACAGATGGGTCTAAATCTGCCAACAATGTTGGCTACTCTGTTGTCTTTCCAGACCAAACCTATATGGGCCGCCTACCTGTCGAGGCTAGCATCTTCACAGTCAAACCATATGCTATCTTGTATGCACTTCATCATTTGCTTTTCCATTGTCAGTGCTCTGTCATAGTGGTTGACTCTGTGTTCTCATGGCTTCGAAGTCATTTAACCTTGTACATTCTGTGGTAGGGGAAATTAAATATTGGCTGTTTCTAATCTGTTGCAGGTTTAAGTAGGTTGAATTTTGCTGGATTTCCAGCCATATTAATAATTCCTTAAATGAGCATGCAGACACTGCCACTAAGGAAGCTATCCACACTTGTTGTATTTCCTGCAAAGGCGTTCCTTATTCCGATTTCTATCCTGCCATTCATTTCTCAATCCATGCCCATTGGTATAGTTGTTGATCTTATGTTATTGGTAACAAATGGCGTGCTCTTAGGTTAGCCTGTTCCCTTGGCCTTCCTACTACCACCGTAACTGGCGGTGGGAATGGCTCTGACAAGGTTACGTATTGGCCATACCCGTTTAACTCGCAGGCACTTTAAGGAACAGGGCGGCAGTCCATTTTGTCAGAACTGCATTGTCCCTCTTACTGTCATGCATATCCTTGTTGAATGTCTGGACTTCCAGGATTTGTGTGTCTGCTTCCCGACCGTTCCTCACGGTTGCTTGTCACTCTATTGAATCCTTTGTGACTTAGATACCTTTGCTATTATTTGCCCTGTCCACTTTTGTTTTCATATTGGCATCCATAGTGATATTTAGTGCCTTTTGAATATCATGCATCTTTGATGGTGCTACAGAGTAATTCCTTGTACAAGAATGTAACAACTCTTGTATATATCTCAAAAAAAAAAAAAAAGTAAGTCTTCCTGGCATGGCACCATTTTTTTATAATTACACTTAAACCACCACTTAACCAATGGGCAGTGGTGGGAAGTTAGTCACCCACATTTACTACCAAGATTAAGTAAACTTGGGATATTTGGCTAAAATTTCTGGTTGTAGATCATTTGACTGAAATATTCACACATTTCTTTTGCATTTGTTGGTTGTCTCTGAATTTGTTGTCTTTTTCTGAAGTATCACTATGTGATGTGCTCCCACTCCATCACTATGTGATGGAGTGGGAGAAGACACCTCCTTCCCTCCCTCAGCATTACTCCTCCCACCATGGAGCATAGCGCTAAATATCACCACAATCCTGCTATTATCAGAATCCTGGTCAGTTTTATCACAGTCAGGGGTCTTCTGTAATACTGTCATCACTATATACTGTATATAGCATGTACATATATAATTTGACATTTTTAGGCGATGCTGTGGTCACAAGCTGAATAGTGGTGCTGTGAGCTCATGCTGCATGCGCCAGCCTTGGTGGCTCACTCAGTACTGAGGCTCTCGCACCCAGGAATGTTGCCCACGATTTTTTTCTAGGTGGCGTCTGTTAACTATCGGTCGTGACTGGACCGTAGCTGCCCCTATCCCTCGCGGGGAATTTAAAATCGTGCGCTAGAGCCTCAATTGTCTATATACGTATTGCGCAGTTTCGGTAAAGTTACTTTCATCGTTTATGTGTATTGCGCGGTCTGAGGGTTAATTGCTCTGCATGCATGGTTGAAAAGCTCCATTGTGCCAAAGTCAGAATGTTGTCTTACCTGACTGAGATAGATTCTCTTGTATGAATACAGCAGATCCTTATCTTAACAGAATAAATCTGCTTCTAAAGTTGCTTTTCATATTAACTCATCCCTGTATGTTGTATTTTATTCATTATCAACAGTGTAATGGAATGTCCTTGTGCAAGAGCTGGAGCACTTTGCCGAACACGACACAACTGTTCCTGTAAGGAGTGTGACAATCCCCTCAATGTTCTGCACGTTCTTGGCCTCAATATACACACTGCACGTGTTGATGAATGTCTCATGCAGAGCTTATACAGTTACAATGTAAGTTTTATATTTTGTGTTTTCAAAAATTTCTTCTAAAGTTACTTGGATTAGAACACAAATGTACTTGAGAAATGGCACCCTCAGCTCTTTGACTCAAGTTAGTGGTACAGGCTGCAACTAATGTACATAAATTACCTTACAAGATTATTGTTCACCTAGTATAACAAAGTAGTTGGATACTGCTGTAGAGTATTAGCTGGAGTGTGTTAACTTTCTTGTGATGCTGTGTTGTTGTTGCACAGTATAAGACATGGATGTCATATTTTAACAGGTTTAAACTTGTCATACTGTACATTGTTAGCTTTATTTCTCCAGGCTGATGCCTCCCATCCCAGGAATGTGGATAATGACAATGACTATTAAATTACCGTATGTTTAATAGTGTCCAGAATTTAATTTTTCAAGTGATTTTACACACATTGACCAACTGTTGATACTCTCTCCTCTTACAGTTAACAGGCTTGTGTTCTTTGCTGGCATCACCAATTACTCTTCCCTGTTGTGGGGCTACATCAGAGCTTCTACACATCATTCCTGGTACAGTTCTGTGTAACTGTTGTGGTATGGCTGTATGCTACTCCTGGTGCAGTCATCATATCCATCTGCAGATCCTCTGTCCTCGAAACCATTGTCTTGTTTGCTGCGCCTGTAAACCAGCTCTTCATACCCACTGTCAGGTACTGTTTTCTGTATTTTATTTTATTTTAAGGATTAATGGTTTATCAAGTTTTAACAGCCAATTGCATTAGTGTATTATAATAAAAGCTTTAGGTATTCTACTAATAACAAATAAATAAAAACAAGATTTTTGCAAATTAACTGTTTAGGTAATATAAACCCTTCAAATGTTGAAACACAGTAGCATGACAGTTTTACACAGCTCTGGGATACAATTCATTTTATAAAATAAATACTTTATGTTCAATAAATAATGTGAAGAGACATGAAAAACACGTAGGTGGAGAGAATACTTGAAATAAGTTGAATAGAAATGTTTAGAGATAGTAATTTAATATAATTGTATTTGATGGGACGAGGCAAGTGCAAAGCAGTATAATAATAATAATAATATAATTATTTAACAAATATACCAAAGAATACCACTGTATACAGAGATTTAATAATATGCAAAGTGTTTTGGGCATAATTTAAAATAATTGTTAGGTTTAAAGATTTGATGAGGTAGACTGTTAATACTAAACAAGAAGTAAGCCAACATATTCATTGTTCTAGAAATTGAGCAAAGAATGTACATAGCAGTTGACATATCTGTGAAGGATAAGAGTACAGTACGTCATAAGGATGCCGAGACATTTGGAACCTGAAGATTACACTCCAATAAGTTTGTTTGACAAGATGTGTAGACTGTTTAGATTTTGCTGCACTGTTTTCTAGTCTCTTATTTCTCTTATTTACTTATTGTTCTTATTGTTTTTATTTTCCCTACAAACTTAGCATAATCCACTGTACAATGAATCCACTTGAGGTGTGGTAGAGGGGTCCCAGTTCTTATCCTTGTGGTATACTGGTTCAATTCCATTACCAGTTTGCTGTCATTAATCCTGCGGCATAGTGGTCAGCAGTCAGGTCCCATCTGAAAGGTTCTGGGTCAATTCCTGTGGTATGGTGCAAGTGTTTGGGCACTTTCTTTCATCTGATGCTTTTATTAACCTATCATTAAACAGGTACCCCCCTCCGTGGTGCCTTCTTGCCGTGGTGAGGGGCTCACGTACACCTCCTTGGGTTCGATGAGGGTTGCCTTTGTCCCCTCTCCTGCCCCCTCTTTGGGTGGTGTACGTGCAGAAGGGCACCACATAGGGGCCTTGTGAGCCATCGGACCACCCGCTGGAGGGGTTGCCTGTGAGGGGCCGCCCTGAGTGGATGGTTGGGTGTCCAGGCTGGGGGGATAGGGGAATGGGGTCTTAGCACCAGTGTGGGAGAATGGACGAAGTAGTAGGACTCCCCTGTTGAAAAGGGGGAGCACCGCTGGGGACGACACACCCTTCCTGCACTGGCCTGCGCTCGGCCTCCCTGGCTGCCCTGGTAGGTGGTATCCCTTGGTTCCAGGTCCCAAACCTTTAATTTGATTGATGCATGACTGACGACACGACTTCTCTTACCCCTCCTACCAAGGCTCATGAGGTGGGTGACCAGGCCCCTGAGTTGGACTGTCCTGGAAGACCAGGCTCTGTAGCCCTGCTACAGGGCCTAGTTTAGGCCCAGACCGGACTACTACTTCCTGCTCCCCTCCCTCCTCTGTGGTTGGGTCGAGCCCAAGCCCTCTGTGGTGACCATCTCGTCCCCTTGCACGGCTCCATCTCTCGTTGTGATTACTGCACCTAATGACCCATCTCTCTCGGTTCTCACCGCCGTCCCCGCCACGGCCACTCTCTTATGCTCCCTTCCCATACTAATTCGTACCATGCATTGTTTGGTCCTGCTACGTGGTCTAAGTACTTTGACCTCCATCCTTTGGATTCCACTCCTCCTGATGATTTTTCCCTTCATAGGCATCTTGTTGATTCAGTAGATGCCTCTGTTACTTTCAACTCCACCCGTCTCGGTACCCGTGTCGTTGCTATTCCTTCTCGGGATGCAGCCACCTGCTTGGCCGCCTTATCCTGCATTGGCAAGACCCCTGTTCGGGTCTCCAAGAATGCTCATTTAAATGCCAGTGTTAGCACTGTTCTCCTACCGCACCATATTACAACCGGTGCTCGAAATCTAAAGGATTGCCACGAGGATATCAAGCATATCCTCGAGGCCCTTGGCCATTCTGTCCTTCAGGTGGATACGTTTACTCGTCCCCCTTGTGGTCGTCGCCGTCTGCCACTTCGGGTTGTGAAGATTACCTTTGATGGTAAGACCCTTCTGCCCTCTGTCATTCTTGCTGGTGCCAGATGCTCCGTTCAGGAGTATATTCCATCTCCTCAACTCTGTAATAAGTGAGGGCATGGTGCCCTCAAATGCTCTAGTCCTCTCTTTCTCTCTGTTCTATGTGTGGGGATGAGGGTCATAAGTTGGAGTGCACTTCTCCCCAGGCCCGCTGCCTCAATTGCTGTGAGGCCCACTCTACCTTCTCCCACACATGTATACGTTACAAACTTGAGGCAGCCGTCCTCAACTTGAAGCACCGGGACCGTTTCTTTTCCTGAGGTAAGGCGCCCTTATCATCTCCCCCCATTCGCTGGCGTCTCTTATGCTCACGTGTTGTGCTCTTCCTCTCCTCATCCTACTTGCCTTCCTCAGTCTCTCAACCGTTTCCAGGCCTTAGACCCGGACACACCCACCACCACCTCCCCTGTTCCTTTACGTTCTGTCCTGAAGGGTCCCCCTCCTAGTTCTCTGTCTGGGGTTCCCCTTCTTTCTACCCAGTCTGTCATGTCTCCTGTGTCTTCTTTCTCCTCTCCCTCTGATCCTCCTTCCCGTCATTCTTCTCCGTCTCTTGGCTCTCTACGCTGCCTGTCTGTACTGGCTGATGTCCATCGCTCTCCCGGAGATCATGTTGTTCGCTCTCGTTCTTCTTCTCCTATTGAGACGCTCAAGTCTGTTGCCCAGTACATTGCTGCTGGGACACCTGTCTCTTTGAATCAGAAGCGAAAGCCTGGCTCGTCTCCTTCCTCCTCCCCGGCAGGTAAGAAGGCTTCGCTTTCTTCTTCGCCCCCTTATCTCTATCATTCCATCCTCTCCCGTTTCGGTGGTAGAGCCCTCTGTTCCTGCTGTGGAGATTTCTTAGGCCCCCACTTCCGTCTCGGTTGCTGCCCTTGCTGAGGTGCGCTCCCATCTTTCTGCCCCTCCTCCACCCCCTCCTCCTGTCCTTGACTGCCCCTCTCGGTTGTCTCCTCCTCCTCCTCCTCCTCCTCCAGACCCTGCTCGTCTGCCTCTGGTCTGTCCTGCCGCTCCCTTCCCTCCATCTTTACTCAGTTTACCCATGCCCCCTAACCCTGTTTTCGCTGACCCTGACCCTGAGCTTCTTTAACGTGCTATGTTCCTTTTTCACCTGTTTCTTCGTTGTTCTCTGTTGCTATCCTTCCTCTTTTGTCGATGTCTATACTTCAGTGGAACATTCAAAGTTATTGCGCCAATTTCCTTGAACTCCAACTTCTGATTTCACAGTTTTCGCCCCTTTGTGTTTATCTCCAGGAGCCGATGCTTGGTGCTCGTCCTGGTCGCTTCCGTGGCTTTTCCTTTCTCTCTTCCTCCCCCCCTCCCAGCTTTTGCTGGGGCCCATAACTCTTCTGCTCTCTTGATTCGCTCTGATGTTCCCTTCGTCCCCCTACTTTTTCCTTCGCCTCTCCAATGTTCTGTTGCCCGTCTCTTTGTGCGTAAATGGTTCACAGTTTGTTCCATTTATCTTCCACCCAAGTGTCCCGCTTTCTCCTCCCGATCATAAACACCTACTGGACTCCTTGCTGGAGCCTGTGCTCCTGCTGAGTGATTTCAATTGTCGTCATACCCTTTGGGGTGATGTTCTGACAAACACTCAGGGTCGCCTTCTCGAACCATTCATCTCTGTCTTGATCCGTTCCGTCTCTCCTGAATTCTGGTGAGCCCACTCATTTGGACTCTGACTCGCACCCTTTTGTGTCTCGATCTTTCTCTTTGCTCGTCGTCTCTTTATTTGATTTCTCGTGGAGAGTTCTTGATGACCTCCATGGCAGTGACCATTTTCCCATCCTTGTTACCTTTTTCTCTTTTCACCCCTCCCCTCTCCTTCCCTAGATGGCGGTTTGCCGAGGCTGACTGGTGCCTATTTACCCTCCATGCTACTATTTCCGACCTCTCCATTTTGCCTCTCTCTCGCGACCACCTCCTTTTTCATGACACCGTCTTCGTAAGCCTCTTCTTGAATCTCGTCCTTTGGATTTCTGTACCCATCTCTGCCTTCCCTATAACGATCCCTTCTCTCTCTCTGAGCTTCAGTCTGCCCTGGTTCTCTGCGGTTCTACAGCGGCGGGCTCTGATGGCGTTCATTATGAGATGCTTTGCCATCTCCCTCTGTGCACGTCTTGGTATTACCGAGTCTGTTTAATCGGGTCTGGGAGTTGTTGTTGGTCCCTGAGGACTCTCCTCCCTATCCGGAAACCAGGGTCTCTCAGGATATCCCCTAAGGACTTCCGCCCTATTGCCTTCACGCGTTGTGTCTGCAAGCTCTTTGAACGTATGGTTAACGTTCGTGTGATGTGGTTCTTAGAATGCTATCACCACCTCTCCCGTTTTCAATTTAGTTTTCGCAAGTGCCGCAGCACAACAGATGTCCTGGTGAACTTGGAGGTCTATATTCGTACTGCTTTTGCTGCGAAGACCTCCATTGTTGCCGTCCTTTTTAACCTGGAAAAGGCTTAAGACACCAACTGGCAGTACCATATTCTGTCCCAACTTCATTCTTTTGGCCTTCGTGAGAATCTCCCTCTCTTCCTCCAAAGTTTCTTCTCTCGTCGTTCCTTTGGAGTGAGGCTTGATGCCACTCTCTCTGCCCCTTTTCGGCAATATGAGGGTGTTCCCCAAGGTAGTGTTCTGAGCACTACTCTTTTGTTCTAGTTGCCCTCAACGGTCTTCTTTCCTCCCTTGATTGATGCCATGACGTCTTGGGCCACCAATCATGGCTTCAAGTTCTCAACGTCTAAGACTTGTGCTATGACTTTTACTCGGAAGCATGTCATTCTTCGTCCTTCTTTGTCACTTTATGGTCATCCCCTTGTGTACAGGGATTCCGCTAAGCTTTTGGGGTTAATTTTTGACACTGGTTTGTCTTGGTCGCCCCATATCTCTTGCCTCCGAGCTGAATGCTCTAAGCCCCCTGCCTTCCTTAAGGTTTTGTCCCATACTTCTTGGGGGGGGGGGGTGGATAGGCACACGCTCCTCTTTTCATTCCTCTCTCATCCTGTCTAAACTTGATTATGGTTGTCCTGCTTAACTCATCTGCATCTCCTTCTGCTCTTCACCGTCTTGATGCTTTGCACCATGCTGGGTTGCGTCTCAAATCTTGGGGCGAAAGTTGAGACGAGATTCAACATTGGCTCTTTCTTATTTCTAGTAAATTTAAATCAGTAGAATTTTGCTGGGTTCCCAGCCATGTTAGCGTTTCTTTAAATGAGGGTGCGGATGCTGCCACTAGAGAGGCTATCCGTTCTTGTCCCATCTCCCGTAAAGGTATTCCTTATTCAGACTTTTATCCAGTTATTCATTCCTCCATCCTTGCCCATTGGCAGGGTTGTTGGTCTTCTGTAGTTGGTAACAAGCTGCGTACTCTCAAACGTAGTGTGTCCTTGTGGCCTTCCTCCTACCACCGTAACCGGCGGTGGGAAACTGCTCTAGCAAGGTCATACTCGCTTAACTCACGGTCACTTGATGCAGCGCCGCCCTGCTCCTTATTGTCCAAATTGCATTATCCCTCTTACAGTTGTGCATACCCTTGTTGAATGTCCTGACTTCCAGGACGTGCGTGAGTCTTGCTTTCCCACCGTCCCTCGCGGTCACTTGTCCCTCAATAGAATTCTTGGTGAATCGGATACTTTTGATATCGTTCCCCTTATGCATTTCTGTTCTCGTATTGGCATTCTTGGTGATATTTACCACCCTCTGATTATTTTGCACTTTGATGGTGCTACATAGCCTTCCCGATTTGGCGCCTTCTTTTGATAATTACTTACTTCCATTGTACTGTATAGATAAATACAGCCACACTAAAAACATATTTGAAAATTGTCTTAAAACAGTGTTGGTGAAAATGTTTACTAGTCATTATATAAAATTAATCCATTTTCAGAAATGTCACAAGTGTACGCCATCGAATCAAGGAATGTGTACTCAGTGTGGCATCCATAAATTATTCTAAATATCTGGGTCTTAGTAAATAATGCAGAATTAGTGGCTGTGAGTAGGTTGAAATTGCTATTAAGATCAATAAATAAATTTTCATATTTGAACTCATGATTTGCAGTTTATTTTGTGGAAAAGTAGTACTGTAGTTTCTGTTGCTCAGTCACCCTGTTGTTATAAATTAGGATTTTATTTGTACTGTAAATTTTCAAGCTTGGCTTGTATTATTCTTGCCTCCCTTGTGCATCTTTGTTTACAATAAAATCTTCAAGAGCCTGTGTTCTTAAATGTTTCTACAAATTCTTTGTTTGTGTTGGGAGCTGAGGGAGCAGATGATACATTGTAGGTAGAGAGAATCAAAAGGAAAATGCATCTACAATGTTAACACAAATTTTTAATCAAAATTGAAAGAATAGATGCCAGAATTTCACCTGTATTACTGAAATTTTTTATAGATAAAAAAAAGATTAAAGTTAATTTTGAGTAATTATTTTTAATTAAATTTGTGTATTCCAGAGGTTATTTAAAAAATGTACATGTTTTTAGATGTACTGAAAATGTCAGGTATTTAGTATACAGGATTATTCCATTAAGTATTAATGTGATGAAGGTAGATAATAAACCTTATGTAACGGCAAAATGGATAAACATTAATGGTGATTTCAAAATACCTCTGGGGACAACATTACCAGAATATCAATAGCATGGCTGTTAATTCCTATCTTTGAAAGCTTGTGAAAATTAAAGATTTAGCCTCCTTTATCATTAATTTTCAGCACAACTAGATGGTTTAATAAGTTGCATTTTCTGAAACTGGGATCCTTTCAAGAGAGGTTCCATTTTTTTTTTTTGTTCAATTTACTAGAAAGTTTTTCATATTACCCATCATTCTACTACTGTACTCTCATTTCGTCCACTTTCATATATGTACCATACTCAAAAATGCTGTCCTTGTTCTTTCCTCATGAAAAGAATGCCTGTGTTAGGAGTTGGTAACTGGTGTTACTCTAACCCATAGGCAGCTAGTATGTACAGTTCTGTTAACCATCCCATGTGGTGTTAAATCTTGCAAAGTTGTATTGAAGCCAATGTGAAATGAATACATTAAATAATTGAGGTCTGATTGGTTAGTTACTTTTAGATGTATAAACCTGTGTATATACAAGTAGAAGTCGGTTAAATAATGAACTTTAATACAATATTGAAGTCATTTCTAACAGACAAATCTAGTCCTTCAAAGCTGTTGCAGTATTGAAGAACAAATATGTGCTACAGTGCATAAAGTAATAAATGACATGTGAAAGTAGTTGTCAGTTGAGAATTAATATTAGAATTATAGGATATAAAATGGGAAAGGTGAAGTTTGTTGTATGTAAATATTATCTGGGAATTAGTGTAGAAATTGTTAAAAATTTAAATTAGCAACAAAATGCTATTAGATTTATTCATTGTTAATTAATGTAATAATATTATTTGTTATGGTTTGAAGTGTGGGAAATAAGGAGAGATTTAGGCTCTAGTTTGGGTATGGTGAAGTGGAAATATAATGTAAGATAGGACTCTTAGTGGCTGGTGATGGTGCTCTCGCCATTTGGCCCGAGGTTTTGCACAGCAAAGGCATCAAGTAATATATTACTATATTAGTGCTTTAAATAAGTGGAGTTTACTGAAAGTGGGAAGCTTGTGTACGGTAATGTAGGAAGCGGCAGTTGAATTGAAAATGTTAAAATAATGATTTTTTAGATCTAATAATTGGTTTGATCATTTGTTAATGTATGGTATTGGCAAGTACAGTAATGCTCTTTCTAATGTACTCAAGTACAGTGTGAATTTAAGATGGTGAGATATATGTAGTGGGTGGGCAACATGGATGCATGGCTCAACTGTGCACAAGATGAAGAGGAGTAACCTCTTAAAAAGAAAGTTATTAGAAAGTAATTAAGCAGTTAAGTCTTCCTGGCTTGATGCCTTCTTTTGATAATTACCTCTGATTATATTGTTCTTTTGTGACATAGCGAATGAGATTGATGCAATTAAAGTAATACCACAGTGGAAATTACTAGTACTTTCATAAAGAGCAAATATTGTTCCTTGGCTCCTATTAACAACTAGAGGGAGTTCATTTATGACAAAATTCACATACATGAATAGTAAATAATTGTTTTTGTACATCCTTGCTTTCATAGGAGAAATGTTTATTGATGTGAATAATTCAAATAATTGAATGTGGCTATATGAAGTACTGCATCAAAAGTTCATTTGTTTATAATCCCATATTGTTCACATTTCTCTTATACACAATGTAGTCTGTTTTTTTCAGTAAATGTTACTGAATTTTAATGAAGAGTTCTTACTTAAATTTCTGCATACAAATTTGAGGTTAGTTTAAAGTTTATAAATTTTCTAAATCCTCTTAACATGAATAAATTACAAATTTTCAATGTGGGTGTAGTGCAGATTTTACAATAGATTAATTTTACAATCCTCAATTTCCAACTTATTGATTAGAGTAAAGCTCTGTTTTCTACAAATTATATAAATTTGTTCATAAGTCTAGCAATAATTGAGGAACCTACATTTTATTGTTTGTATAAAATGCCTTTTTCAGTTATTGTTGAGCACACATGACAAAAACTTGATTATCTTTTTGATGTTTGTAAGTGATATTCACAGATTAGTTTGTGCTCTACAGGCTGGTCACTGGCTTTTTTTTTATTGGGCTTTTGCTTTCTGTGAATGTTGAAAGCTTGCACATTGCACTGATAGACATTTTCTTTGCAATACAAAAATATTCATATCCACCTGAGTAACAATATTGTTTTGTTTTCCAATTGGTTTAGTCTATGATTTACTTATTACCCCAAAATAAAACAAAGCTTTAAGTCCATATTTTAATTACCTTTATTATTTTTTTTTTTTAATTTAATTAGGGAAAAGTACAAGAGATATAAGAAGAACGTACAGTACTTTGGTTTTCTAGGTCTCTCCCTTGGCTAACTTGTGACCTTCATGAGGATACAACCCACAACAGCTCTCAAACTCCTAGGTTACTTATTCATTTATATACAGGAAGGTACTTTGGGTTGAGAGTGCATAACATCGGTGTTTGAGTATAACATTCTTGCAAAGCCACTAACATGTAATATAATGTTCAAAAACTGAGCATTTCAGGCAGGTCCTTAATCTAACTATGGTAATAAGTACAATATTAATAGGTACATTGTAGCAGAACGAGTTGAACATAATAACTACAATATAAATTCCACAAAATTTGCAGACAACAGCAAGATTTATGGTAAAGTGGGAATTAATAATGAAATTGAAGCTTTACAAAGAAATCTACATGAACTCCACAAATGGTCAGAAGACTGGCAAATGCTTTTTATTATTGACAAATGCAAGACCATGCATGTGGGGGCAAAACAACCTATGCCATGACTACCAAATAGCATTACATTACAGCAGATTAATGAAGAAAAGGACCTTGGAGTTGAAATCCACCACTGATTAACAGTTGCACAAGGGTGCAGCAGTCAAAAAAGCTAACCAAACAATTGGGATAATCAAGTGTATTTTCGACTGTAAGGAAAAGGTAATGGTTCAGCTGTATAAATCTCTGGTGGGGCCCCATTTGGATTACTATATCCAAGCATGGAGACCTCATTTTCATAAGGACATAGCTGCTCTGGAGAAGGTGAAACATAGGGCAACAAAAGTCATTCCAGAGCTAAGACATCTCTCGTATCAGGAACAGTTGAGGGCCACAGGGCTAACAACACTGCAAACTAGGCATGACGGAGCAGATCTCATTGACACTTAAAATACTGAACTAGCTAGAGGATGTTGATCCGGATATTTTCGTCATAAGGTCAGATGTACCACAAACAAGGAGCAACGGTTTCAAGCGCAACAAGCCACCATGTAGGACTGAGAACAGAAGCTTTTTCACCCACAGGATTATTAACCCATGCAACCTACTTCTGTCCATTTTATTTTGTAGTAAATCAAATCAAATTCAGCTTCAGATAGACAATGTTAACATTAGCAATAAAAATGAGGGAAAGTTCCTTGACCTATACAAAAACAAGACTGAATTTCAACACCCACATACAACACAGCCAAAAAAATCTCTCAAAAAGTTGGTATACTTTCTAAAATCAGACATTATTTTCCCCACTCTACTCTCCTCTAATTATACTAGGCGCTAATCTATCCCTATCTTAATATGGTATCTGTGCCTGGAGTTCAATCACTACAAATTACCTCAAGCCCATCATCACATTGAAAAAATCTATCAGAACTATAACAAACCTGTCTTCAAACACACAGCCTCTCTGTTAAAGTCCCTTAACATGCTAAACAAACTCACTCCACACATTCTCATGTGCTATTTACATGTACAAAAACCTTGTTCCTAAATGCTAATCTTGTTCTGAAACTTTTCCCTGATAGGTATAATAGAACCCATGAGAACCACACCAGAAATATATTTTTGATATCCCCCGAGAAACTAAATCTGTGAAAACACTCCATGCAAATAAAAGGGCCCAATCTTTGGAACTCACTCCCTGATGAATTAAAAAAATTTCCAACCAATACCTTATTCAAAAGTAAAACCAAATACTGTACTGTAGTACCTAATTTCATCCTCATAGTTTCCCATCTTGTGTTTCAAACTCTCACTGCAACTTGTACTACTTAAGACATAAATCTTCACCAGTGTAATCACCTCTGTCAATTTATATTGTAGTTATTTGTTGATATAAAACCTTGCTACAATGTACCTTTTCATCTTGCCTGATGTGTTAGATTAAAGACCTGCCTGAAATGTTATGTGTATTGGTGGTTTTGCATGAATGTAAAAATACGAATCTTGTGTAATCTCGCCAACCCATTGTACCTTGTAAATAAATTTATTATTACTTACATGGAAGTGGGTGGAAGATAATATATCTGATTTTAGATAGTATACCAACAGTTTTTGATACTCACTTTCGCTGTGTGTTGTATGTGGGTACTTAAGTGTAGTCTCTTGTCTATGAATAGGCTGTGGCCTATAAAATTCCATCTTTTTTAATGCTTATGTTAACATTGTCTTTCTGAAGGTGAATTTGATTTGACGATTTACTTACAAATAAAATGTAGTAGGTCTTTTCTGTGTTTAGTGCGAGTTTGTTGGTTGACATCCATGAGTGGACTTTTCTTAATTCATTATTTACAATATTACTTTGTGTGGATTGGAATCTGAATAAATGAAGGTACTGTAGTATCATCAGCAAATAGTATAGGTTTAAGAAAGAAACATTTGGCAAATCATTGATGTATATAAGAAATAGGAAAGGTCCTAAGATGCTATCCTGTGGAACTCCTATGGTTAGTGGTAGAGTGGGGAAGATTGTCATTGATGGCTACATACTGATGTCTGTCATTAAAATATGATGGAATATAGTTTCAGAGCAAGGCCTTGGATTAAATAATGAAGACGTTTTAGAGGTACTGTAGATATGGTTTAAAGTATCAAAGACCTTTCTTAGGTAGATCAATGTAGAGGCCAATTGGCCAAGGTACTAGTATACTAGTTATTTTGTTGAACTCAAATTTTCCTACAGTGTACTTTATTTGCTAGATTAAGGATCTGCCCAAAACACTATGCATATTAGTGGCTTTGCAAGAATGTAAGAACAGCAATATTATGTACTCTCTCAACCCTATGTACTTTCTTGTATATAAATAAATTGGGAACTAGTTTTTGTCGAGGGCTGTGTAAGTTTTAACAGACTATTTATGGCATTTTGTGTGTGTGAGAAATGGAAGCCAAACTGGTAGGGACTTGGTAAATTTTACAAGGTAGTAGATCGGTTTGCAAGTAATTTTTTCAAATTTTTTATAGTATCAGTAGATTTGATATTGATCTGTAATTGTCTGTCAGTTGCATTGCCTTGTTTATGAACTGAAGTTACTTTTCCTGATATCCTGAAAAAAAGAAAAAGTAAGAAATTTGTTGAATAGCAGAGCTATGGGTGGTCCAAGGGCATGAGCGGCACATATATATTTTTTATTTATATATACTGTACAAGAGTTCTTAAATTCTTGTAATGCCACTAGCACGCATAGCATTTCGGGCAGGTTCTTAATCCTAATTTTTCCCCGGAATACGACCCGCCAATTCGTTTAACCACCAGGTATTCATTCACTGCTGGGTGAACGAAGGCTACAGTTAAGGATTGATACCTAGTCAATCCTCCCAGGCCATAGCGCTGGGGCAAGTGTTTTACCACTGCACTACGGGGACTGCTTGGTATGGCTTGGATACCAAGCAGTTGGTATTTCACTAATATTCCCAGGTTTGGTTTTAAGCGAGTCAATTATGGATGTAATGTTTGTCGGACTGGCAAAAGGAGTGTGGTTACCTTACCTTAAGGTTACCTTGAGGTGCTTCCGGGGCTTAGCGTGCCCGCGGCCCGGTCGTCGACCAGGCCTCCTGGTTGCTGGACTGATCAACCAGGCTGTTGGACGAGGCTGCTCGCACCCTGACATATAAGTCACAGCCTGGTTGATCAGGTATCCTTTGGAGGTGCTTATCCTCCACGTTTATCCTTATGCTTATATCCTCCTTATTATTATCATTATCCATGTGTATTAGGATAACTGCCGGTGAAATACATAGTAACATGTACAGTATCCGAGTCTGGGATTTTTTTTTTTTTTTTTTTTTTTTTAGCAAGGTTAGCACCAATTGATGAAAAAACTATTAAATTCAGTCGCCGTTTCTAAGTCTATTGTGTGTTATCATCCTTGGAAAGTTTTACCTGCTTGTTATAAGATGTTTAGATCCTAGGATATTAGAAATGGCTTTCCATGTGCTTTTCATGTTTTCTATCACTTCTTTGAACCTACTCTCATAAAAGAAAAGTTTAGCTGCTCTTAATATACTGGTAAAGGGCTTATGAGTATCTTTTAACTAGTTTTTTGTAAGTAAGCCACCTCTATGGTTTTTAGTGTGTATTTTAGTATTTTTAGTTTACTATTTACTACTAGGTGAACAAATGTATTGCGTGTTGGGAAAAAAACGTGATCAAATTTTTCTGTTCTGCCCAAGGATTGAATCCAGGATTCTCAGTTTGTCACAGCTCTAAATAAGGAGTTGGCAGTCTCCAGGTAACCTTCCAGATGTTTTCCCTGACCTAAATCAAAGGTCAAAGCAAAGTTTGAGGGGAGGAGGGGGGGGGGGAAATAATGGCCGTTTTCTATTCTTTGGATATACAGTATAAGCAGTTAGAGGGTAACACTACCCTGGGACATACAAAATTACATAGTTTTATAGGTAGATATGCTACAAGTTGTAGTCATTGAACTCAAATTCAAATTCTTCTGCAAATCGGTAAAGTATTTTATTTCTCGGTGATTTTGGTTATAGGTTATCAAACGTTTTGATACATTCGAGCAATTACATTGCTAATTGATGTTCCAAGTTGAAGCTAGTATAAATTAACAGTTGAGATCCTGTATGAACTTTTACCAGTATGTACTCAAGTTTAGGCATAATGTGAGTGTTGGCAACAAGTGATAAGGAGCGAGAGAATAAAGGGATGCAGAGCCTCGGGGAGGAAGATCCATAGGGGGAGGAGCCTGAGGGGTGGGGAGAGCCTTAGGTAGGAGCCTGAGGGGTGGGGAGAGCCTAAGGTAGGAGCCTGAGGGGTGGGGAGAGCCTTAGGTAGGAGCCTGAGAGGTGGGGAGAGCCTTAGGGAGGAGCCTGATGGGTGGGGAGAGCCTTAGGGAGGAGCCTGAGGGGTGGGGAGAGCCTTAGGTAGGAGCCTGAGGGGTGGGGAGAGCCTTAGGGAGGAGCCTGGTGGGTGGGGAGAGTCTTAGGGAGGAGCCTGAGGGGTGGGGAGAGCCTTAGGGAGGAGCCTGAGGGGTGGGGAGAGCCTTAGGGAGGAGCCTGAGGGGTGGGGAGAGTCTTAGGGAGGAGCCAGAGTAGGGGAGGGAGAGCCTTAGGGAGGAGCCTGAGTAGGGGAGGGAGAGTCTTAGGGAGGAGCCTGATGGGTGGGGAGAGTCTTAGGGAGGAGCCTGATGGGTGGGGGAGAGCCTTAGGGAGGAGCCTGGTGGGTGGGGAGAGCCTTAGGGAGGAGCCTGAGGGGTGGGGAGAGTCTTAGGGAGGAGCCTGATGGTGGGGAGAGCCTGAGGGGTGAGGAGAGCCTTAGGGAGGAGCCTGAGGGGTGGGGAGAGTCTTAGGGAGGAGCCTGGTGGGTGGGGAGAGCCTTAGGGAGGAGCCTGAGGGGTGAGGAGAGCCTTAGGGAGGAGCCTGATGGGTGGGGAGAGTCTTAGGGAGGAGCCTGAGGGGTGGGGAGAGTCTTAGGGAGGAGCCTGAGGGGTGGGGAGAGTCTTAGGGAGGAGCCTGATGGGTGGGGAGAGTCTTAGGGAGGAGCCTGATGGGTGGGGAGAGTCTTAGGGAGGAGCCTGAGGGGTGGGGAGAGTCTTAGGGAGGAGCCTGAGGGGTGGGGAGAGCCTTAGGGAGGAGCCTGAGGGGTGGGGAGAGCTTTAGGGAGGAGCCTGATGGGTGGGGAGAGTCTTAGGGAGGAGCCTGATGGGTGTGGAGAGCCTTAGGGAGGAGCCTGATGGGTGGGGAGAGTCTTAGGGAGGAGCCTGATGGGTGGGGAGAGTCTTAGGGAGGAGCCTGAGGGGTGGGGAGAGCCTTAGGGAGGAGCCTGATGGGTGGGGAGAGTCTTAGGGGGGAGCCTGAGGGGTGGGGAGAGTCTTAGGGAGGAGCCTGATGGGTGGAGAGAGTCTTAGGGAGGAGCCTGAGGGGTGGGGAGAGTCTTAGGGAGGAGCCTGGTGGATGGGGAGAGCCTTAGGGAGGAGCCTTAGGGAGGAGCCTGAGGGGTGGGGAGAGCCTTAGGGACGAGCCTGAGGGGTGGGGAGAGTCTTAGGGAGGAGCCTGATGGGTGGGGAGAGTCTTAGGGAGGAGCCTGGTGGGTGGGGAGAGCCTTAGGGAGGAGCCTGAGGGGTGGGGAGAGTCTTAGGGACGAGCCTGAGGGGTGGGGAGAGTCTTAGGGAGGAGCCTGATGGGTGGGGAGAGTCTTAGGGAGGAGCCTGGTGGGTGGGGAGAGTCTTAGGGAGGAGCCTGAGGGGTGGGGAGAGCCTTAGGGAGGAGCCTGAGGGGTGGGGAGAGTCTTAGGGAGGAGCCTGAGTAGGGGAGGGAGAGTCTTAGGGAGGAGCCTGATGGGTGGGGTGAGTCTTAGGGAGGAGACTGAGACGTGGGGGGTGACTGAGGGGATGGTGAGCTTGAGGGTAGCGAGTCTGAAGGCATTGCGTACCCAAGGGAAGTGTGCGCCTGTGGAGAGGGAGAACCCGAGGATAGGGGGAACCTGGGGGATGAAGAAACCCAAGAGGAGAAGATACCTTAGTGTAGGGAGAACCTGCGAGGGGGAGCAGCAGCTTGAGGGGAGGGAAAACTTCGGGTAGAGCCTCAGATGAGCCTGAGGGGAAAGGAGGTGAGATCCAGAGAGGTGGTGGTGGGTTTGTGGAGAGGGAAAGCCCAAGGAGAGGGGTGCCTGAGGGGGTGGAGAGCCTCAGAGCAGCAGTCTTGAGGGAAATGAGATCCTCGAGGAGGGGAAGACGGGGAAGGTGGGGTCTGGGAAGAGGTGGAACCCGAGGGAAGGGGGAGGGGGAAAGGTGGTGTCCCGTCTTCCCAGCACTCTTTGTCATATAACGCTTTGAAACTACTGACGGTCTTGGCCTCCACCACCTTCTCACTTAACTTGTTCCAACCGTCTACCACTCTGTTTGCGAAAGTGAATTTTCTTATATTTATTCGGCATCTGTGTTTAGCTAGTTTAAATCTATGACCTCTTGTTCTTGAAGTGCCAGGTCTCAGGAAATCTTCCCTATCGATCTTATCAATTCCTGTTACTATTTTGTATGTAGTGATCATATCACCTCTTTTTCTTCTGTCTTCTAGTTTTGGCATATTTAATGCCTCTAACCTCTCCTTGTAGCTCTTGTCCTTCAGTTCTGGGAGCCACTTAGTAGCATGTCTTTGCACCTTTTCCAGTTTGTTGATGTGCTTCTTAAGATATGGGCACCACACAACAGCTGCATATTCTAGCTTTGGCCTAACAAAAGTCGTGAACAATTTCTTTATTATATCGTCATCCATGTACTTAAAAGCAATTCTGAAGTAAGAAAGCGAGGCATATAGGCTCCTCGCACAATATTCTTTATGTGGTCCTCAGGTTGTTGTTGTTGTTGTTTAAGATTCGCTACTCAGAACAATCAGTTCCAGTAGCACGGGCTATGGTGAGCCCGTAAGGGTGGTCCTCAGGTGATAGTTTTCTATCTAGAACCACCCCTAGAGGTGAGGGGGAGGTGGAGCCTGAGTGAGGAGGAGGTGGAGCCTTAGCGAGGAGGAGGTGGAGCCTTAGCGAGGAGGAGGTGGAGTCTGAGGGGAGGTGGAGGTAGAGCCTGAGGGGAAGGGGAGGTGGAGCCTGAGGGGAAGGGGAGGTGGAGCCCGAGGGGACACGCTCCAGGCCGCCACCAGTCAATATCCAGTGGTCCACCATGCGCGAGATCGTCCACGTTCAGGCTGGCCAGTGCGGTAACCAGATTGGTTCAAAGGTAACTGTTATTGTTGTGGCAGTACTATAAATGTTGTAGTCACTTTGTGCGGGGGATGATAGGAGAGTAACGTTGAGTCTCACCATGCACTTGCCATCATATGAATGTGCTTGTGATACACATCACACATTATACCAATGGGTGCGTATGTACTGTCCACGAGTACATAAACTACAGTACTTCATTACATGTGTAGCATTGACACTCCTCATTTCTTCGTGCAGCAATATTATGTACCAACAATGGATTTAACCTCATGTGAATGAATTATCGTGACGAATAATGAATGGTATGACAGGAGTACAGTTGTACCATGTGCGCGCGTACTGCGTACTCTGGGCTAATTGCTTGAGGCTGTGTATGTACTGAACAACTTGTTACAGCCAGTTGAAGCCTTTTCCTTGACGTTACACTTCATTTGAAGCCTAAAACTGACAGATATTTGTTGATTAGTAAATCTAAGCATCTAGGACCTGCCCGAAACGCTATGCGTGTTAGTGGCTTTGTAAGAATGTAAAAATATCACTCATAATGTAATCTCTCCAACCCATTGTACCTTCTTGTAAATAAATTATTATTATTAAGATTACCCGGGTAACATGTCTAAGACACTACAACATTTCAGTTTATTTTTGTCTTATGGCCGAGTGCAACTTGGCCACGTATGTTTGCAGGTATACACATCGCCTTCTCGTATGAAAATCCATAATTCTTGAACAGTATTCTGGTAAATGTTCACCAAAATCATCCTTCATTGAGTCATGGAGAGGAATGTGGCGGGAGTATGGCCGCTGCAAGTTCCGTGACCGGACACAATGCTCACAATTACCGTCGTCGCGTTTCTTACAGCCTAGGGTTCCACCCACAATATTACACAAACTCCCTCTTAATAAGGCGTCGTTTCATTCTCTAGTCTGATTGCGAAAAAGATCTGGGGATAGGATTAGAAAGTATAGGCTTATAAATCCACAAAATAAATGCATAATTGTTCGAAATAAGGCAAATAGAACACTGATATTTCAATCTAGACGCGTTAATTAACAATAAAACGCCTATCTGTTGTTATTCAGCTATATCTTGCTCTAGTTAGGCCCCATATTTTGATTATGCAGTTCAATTTTGGTCGCCATACTATAGAATGGATATAAACTCATTGTATTAATAATACATTGTGAACTAGAACGCTTCCAGCGAAGGGTGATAAAATTAATCCCGCAAATTAGAAACCTTCACGTGAAGAGAGGTTTTTTTTTCCCCCCTACCACAGACGTGGCCACACATTTACAATGCTAACCAGCATATATACATTTTCTTCTGTCGTCCATGGACAGGGTTAGAGAAGTGTTAAACATATAGTTCAAGGGTTTATTGAGAGTGAAAAAGCTTAATTTTAGGCGAGGGATAATAATCTTGACATTAGACGAGCGATGCTGTCATGTCAGTTGCTCATCAATTGAAGTTTGTGTATTTATTATTTCCATATTTTCTCTTAATGTGTAGTGTGCAGCTAGGAATACTTTAATGAATAATATATATTATACACGCGCCTTGGCGCGCACCCTCATTCCTACACACCACGTGTCTGTAATGTTTACTAATTACAACTATATATTTATTTTTATATTTCTGTATATTTCTGTCTTCTGATGTATGTTGGCTTGGGGACCATTCAAGCTTGACCCACACATGACGGTCATGCGGTCCAGCATGTTGAAGTGATGTGATGAGATATTATATGTTATCTGTGCCCAATAATGCCACGAGTGTTGTCTGGTGTTGGGGTAAAAGTCTCACTTCTTAATACTTTTGTAAAGTCGGTGGCTGAGTGGATAAAGTAATGGACATGCCAAGGGGCATGTGAGGTCCTAGTTGAGTGGGTTCGAATCCTCGAGGAGTTATCTTAAGATGATTTGATTGATTGGGGTCAAGAGTTTTCTGATGTGTGTGTGTGTGTGAGTGAGACCCAAGTTTGGCAAGACTGGCATGAACTGTGAGTCTTGCCAAACTTGGCTAGCCTAACATTCTAGGAATTAATCAATATCATCACAGTAAATATTTGTTGCTAGAAAGTTTGCCAGAAACATTTTGATATTAACCGGTAAACTGCGGGGTACCGTTATTTAAGTGATAGTATGGTGTTACATAATGATTAGTTCTCAAAGTTTACACACGCAAAAGGTCAAGAACATTTTTGCACTCTGAACGTCTCAAAAATGTTATCAATATTAAATATTCAAACATTTGTGTGGCATGCGATGCCGAGAAACACTTGGCATTATTGTTCTGACGGTCCTAGACACGTACTGAACAGTGTTCTGACGGTCCTGTAACACTGTACTGAAAGTGTGTTTGAGTTAGTTTATTTGACGGTCCTAAATATATATAGAGTACATGAGTCACAGACAAGGATCTGAGAGGCGCCAGTTGTCTGCCTGAGATCTCACACCTCTAAGCGTTAATGACCTCAAGTGACCTGAGGTCAGATCATGAGAATTTCACCTTGCTTCCGCTAAGCTCTTAATTGTAGTCTGGTAGCCTTCAAACAAGCCGACGTTTAAGGAGTGGCTTGGTAGTGCCGGAGGCTATCTACTTGTGGGCGGAGTTAGCTACTAGGTTCCCCAATATAAACTCGGAGAGCTATCCAGAAAAGAGCATTAACGAGAGAGAACAGCAGACGAGCAGAGCAGGGAGGCTGTCGGCCGGCAGGGCGAGGAGTCTCTGTCAACTACAGACCCCCCCCCCCTCTCTATTCAACTTAGACTCAGTCCTCGGTGAGTGAACATTAAGGTGACTTGGTCGTGTTTACATATGTTGTGTGATGATCAGGGGCAGTCAAGTTGTAGGGTTCTCGAATTCTTGGATGATGACTCACTTTGCATATTAAACTGGAACATTTTAATTTAATTGCTAAATTATGATACTTCATGGGAAATATAATTATGAATTTATTATTTAAATTGTGTTTAACTTTGTTCCCTAGAGATTTTGAGTTGAGGTGAGAAAGCCTCTGTGGTTACTGGTTTCATGGTTTAGAATGAGTACATGATAAAGATGGGAACTACTAATAATGATCTCATGATAACATCTTTGGTGAATTTTGTGATACAGGCAAGTTCCATTCCTTGTCTTGTATGTAATGATCATGAATGGATGGTGGCAGCATTTCGTCTTCTACTATCTACTCTTCTACGTCTACTATCTACTCTTCTACTTCTACCTATCTACACCTCTCCCTCCACCCCTCTCTAAACTCTCACTTTCAACTAATGACCCTCCTCGCTCCTCCCACCTCTCTACCTCTCACCCCAAACCCTCACTAATTACTTCACTTTTCATTTCTTTCCTTTCGTTTCCTCTTATACGTTTGTGGCAATGATTCTGTATTCTAGAGTTCTCTCTAGAGTTTCGGGTAGCTGATCAAGTGACGGCGCCTTGTAGTCTTAGCACCTAGGTAGTCGAATACCTAGGTTACAAGGTGTTGAACGAGAGAGGCTGCCTTAGGAACTCTGGGAGTGCTCTAGAATAGTTAGCTAACTGGGGACGGGATAACGGACTAGAGAGAGCTGTTTCCCCCGGCCTCGTTAGTTAACTGGGGGGTGGAATAATGGACAAGATAGAGCTATTTCCCCCACCCCCCGTTACAATGATGGCAGCGGTGTTGAACAATGTTTAAGGTATTGGTGTTCTTTTAACATTGTTCAGTCCCACGTGTCTTTTTGCCGCTCAGGCGCTATCAGGGAGATCTTGACAGGTGTTTAATATTCGCGAGTTAGCGAACTTTTTTCAGGTTAGGAGATAGTGATTCTCTGGTGTTGTGTTTAGTGATTTTGTGAGTTTTGTGGTGTTCAGGGAATGTTCACCAGAACTTGCGTGTGTAGTGATTTATGTTAGTAATAAGATTTGGCGATTTGGGAACTTAGCGGTGTTGGTAGTGCAGGTCAGCTGAGTGTGACAGGTGACCTCGCATGTCCCACGGGGACACCCAGCCACCGCTGGTCTCCAGGTCAGTGGGGAGTGGCAGGTGTAGTTTTTAAGTAGTGGTTCTGCTCAGATTATTGCGATCGACTGTTTTACTCCATTTGAACGCAATAACCCGAGGTGTACTGGTATTGTACAGCATGCTAGGGGGAGGCTTAGTATGTCAGTAGACTTCACGTTGGGGACGCTCGACGTTAGATAGTCTGGTCACAGGGGTGGCAACAGTTTGGAGTTGTTTACCGGCGGAGATGCTAGGGAAACACTCTGGGTCACGTAGGTGGCTGTAGGTTAAGGGTGGGAGTAATGGTTAATTATGTACTTAAGATTAGGAAAGGTACAGTTAAGTTTAGGCTAGTGTTTTGTCTATTAGTTTTGATTTTTTTTTGTGACAAGTTAAAAGTAGTGATGACCTTATTCTCTCTTCTCTAACTTTCCTCTGTTACTGTCTTATGTTCCACCAAGTCAGTATCATTCAGTGTTAATTGGATTATTAAAAAAAAATTTAAGTGTAGTTGTTGCCAGGAGGAGAGCGGTATAACTGGACTGTGTAAACCCTATACAAACTACAGGGTCACATAACATATCTTGGGAGCACGATATTGTCGCCTTTCTGTTCATTCACAGGTGGGAGCCAGAAGAGAGGAGAGACGCACATACAAAAGAGGGAGACGGCTGCTGTGTACCATACTCACGGGCGTTTATCACCACCACCACGACCAGCCCACTACCTGGAGGTCATGGCTCCACCACCATCACCACCCCAGGGGACCCCAAGATGCAGCCCTCTCGGTCGGTCAACATTGGTCTACCCAGTGGACCCCAGGACGGACGGACCCCAGTGGACCCCAAGACGGACGGACCCCCAGTGGACCCCAGGTCGTTCTGCAGACGTCCCCAGACGACCCAGTAAAGATGGAAGAGGAACAACAACGACTCCAGTCTGTCCCACCAACATCGGTCTACCCAGGATGGACCCCAGGACGGACGGACCCCAATGGACCCCAGGTCGCTTGTCAAAGACC